GATCTGAAGAAGATCTACATTTTATACTAAAAAAAATCGGACAAGTGCGAGTTACACTCGCACTGAAATCGAGGGTTCCGTACTCGAAGCGAACTTATTTGGTATAAAAACAAATGTTTAAAAAATATGTGTTGTATGACAACTAATATAAGTGATACAAAAAGGAACAATTTTGTAAAATTCAAGAAAATTGTTCCTCTTCGTATCACTTATATTAGTTGTCATACAACACATATTTTTTAAACATTTGTTTTTATACCAAATAAGTTCGCTTCGAGTACGGAACCCTCGATTTCAGTGCGAGTGTAACTCGCACTTGTCCGATTTTATTTTTTAAAAAATATTTTACTAAAAAAATATAAGAAACATAATTTTATTTCAACTCGCAATATTTTTATTGTATTTACATTTTTAAAATATATTGAATATTAAATTTTATCTTTCTAAGTCAAAAAGAGATAAAACTTAAGATATTGATATAAGGCTAGTAGCTGCTTGTCAAGGAAAAATCGAAAGTTATCTAAAAAATAAAATTTGTTTATTAATTCCAGAAAAATCAACTCCAATCATCCTCGCTATATTTTTTTTGTAATCTACACGTAAAAATACGTCAAAATATATAAATTTGAATCACTGTAGAAAAACTTTTTTCGTTTTTTGCGGAAAAATACATTTTTTTCTGAAATTTATCATTTTTCTTCAAAAATTTGATAAAAATTGATCATCAACTCCAATCGCGCTTACATTTTTTCCCTGTATTTTTCACGCAAAAATTGAGTTTTACAGTAAGTATGAACAGTCTGGATTGAATATTGTGTGCGCTAAGGAGAATAAATCATTTTTTTCGAAATTTTTGATTTTTCCTTGACAACGCTATGTAAATTAATCCGAATCAAGTTCGCTATAATTTTCCTGTAATTTTCACGTAAAAATACGTAAGTGTGTCAAATTTGAGCTCTTTATGTCAAAAGATGTGGCCGCTAGGGGGGGGGTACATACTCATTTTTAGGTATTTTTCGTAAAAATTCATGGTTTTTCCTTGACAACGCTATGATAATCAACTTCAATCATGCTCGCTATATTTTTTTTGTAATCTACACGTAAAAATACGTTAAAATATATCAATTTAATTTCCTTTAAATAAAATTTTGTTCGTTTTTGGTGGAAAAATACATTTTTTTCCTAAAATTGTCATTTTTTCTTGAAAAACTTGATAAAAAGTTAATCATCAACTCTAATCGTGACCGCTTTTTTTCCCCTGTATTTTTCCCGTAAAAATACATTTGTATACTAAATATGATCTGTCTGGGTTGAATATTGTGTGCGCTAGGGAGAATAAATTATTTTTTTCGAAATTTTTGATTTTTCCTTGACAACGCTATGTAAATTGATCCGAATCAAGTTCACTATAATTTTCCTGTAATTTTCACGTAAAAATACGTAAGTGTGTCAAATTTGAGCTCTTTATGTCAAAAGATGTGGCCGCTAGGGGGGGGTACATAGTCATTTTTAGGCATTTTTCGTAAAAATTCATGGTTTTTCCTTGACAACGCTATGTTAATCAATTCCAATCAAGTTCGCTATAATTTTCCTGTAATCTACACGCGAAAATACATATGTGTACTAATTTTCAGCCCTCCAGATAAATTTATGTGGCCGCTAGGGGGGGGGTACACGAATTTAAAAAAACCGATATTAATAGGGTTCCGAACCGAGTACGGAACCCTAAAAATGTAGGGTAAGTGTACTAATTACGGCGCGTTCTTAAAAAATAACTATTATTACTATTATATTTAATATAACTGTTGCCAAATGATTAAAAAAAATTATTTTAATCTTTTTTTGATACAAATACTTATAAAGATGCACATTTAAACAATTATTAATTTAATTATTTGAGATGAAATTTTTTTCCGCGCCGCAATTGAAACATTTTTAAGATTTCCATTGGCTTCAATTTCGGCGGGCAAAGTATCTTCAAAATACACGTAATTTTGGTCACCGAAATTGATACATCGAAACTGATACAAACTCGCCGCAATAGAAAATTACGGTATTAGTTTTAATTTCTCATATTTATTTAAATAATCGATTTTTATACACGGAGAGAAATCTGGTGCGATTTACGCATGAGCATGTCCTTAGGAATATAGTAACAGACGCTTTCAAGCAAAAATCCTAAGTGAGCGAGGTATTATTGTATGAGTCTCACCTGATATTCAGATGGAATCTTATAGTTTTTGCTTGGAAGTGTCCATGCTATATTCCTATGGACTTGCTCATGCGCAAATCGCAGCAGATTTCTCTCCGTGTAGAGTTAAAATTTTTTTTTAATATCTTAATAACGTAAGCTTTAAGTTTAATAAGTCTTAAATTGAGTTTATACAATAGAAATGTCGAATTTTCTATTTCAAAGGTGTTTTGACTCGAATCTCGCCGCAATTAGTGCATTTACCCTATTTTATTTACATTTTTTTCAAATGTAAAAAAAATGTCGCATTTTATTAAAATAAGTCGATAAAAGTCGTATTTTTGAAAAAAGTCGGAAAAAGTCGTATAATCCGAGGCCTGTAAACATATAATTTTCATTATTATCATTTAATATGTAATAATATTCTAATAAGTTAAATTATTTTTGATAATATTAATCTTTAATTTCTTTATAACAAACAATTAAACACTCAATTTGGCGCGCTTGCGCGCGTTTAATTTTGCTAGTAATAATTAATTTTATTAGTCGTCATAATCCGTTAGTAATTAGTCCATTTCCTGTATAAAAAAGCAATATATATTTCCTTCCATATGTATTTACAATATTATTATTCATGTTTGTAGAAACCTTTCAAAATAAAAAATTGCTTTCAAACTAATTTTCACATGTCACAAATATAATTATTGAAGAAAACGATTTCATTTTTCACAACAAAATACCAAACGAGAGAAATAATTTGCCTACGCTTTATAAAAGAGACGAAAAAAAGAAGAAAAATGATCATTACGAAGAAATGTGTCTCGAGACGAAAAAGGAAGATGTTCTTTCGGGTCAGTAGGGGTCTATGTATACGGAAGGACAATTATTACGGAAAACCATAATAATGCAACTGGTTTTCTATGTGAAAATTGTCGCAAACCAAGATCAGGGATATGGTCATAAAAATGTTTCTAAACTTCTCGCAACCGAAAAAGCAGGTACAACATATAACAAAGAAAAATAAAATTTCACTTTTTCTTCTTAATATTATTAGAAAAACTTAATACTATAACAAACTTAACGGACACTTTTTTTCTACCCTTGCTACTTTTCCATTAAAAACATTTGGTTTTTACAGCCAAGGCCCTCGTTTTACGATGAGGATTAAGAAAAACTCGATTATGGCGTATCGGATTAACTTTGTTTGACTCGCAAAACTGTTTAAATGAGTTAATAGCCCTTAATATCCGCAGGATTAAGGAAAGTCGCAGAGTGAAGAAAATAAAAATTGTTTATGACGAGGTTAAGAGCAAAAAAAATTGACCTCCATTTACTTAAAAAAAAAAATGGGTGAGGCGCCTCTTTAAAATCTAAAAATGTCATCTCTCCTTTTTCCATTTAGAGATGAACATTTTCACTGCGCGTACACGCCAGATGTTTTGAAAATATTTTTTAAAAAAAACATTTCTCGGGGGAAAATTATTCATTTCTTTTATACAACTGGTTGCCTTTTTCAAATATATTAAATATACGACTAATTTTCGTTTAAGTAAATATATTCGATAGCTATAAAAAGAAAAGTAATTTCGACATTGTGATTGATTATTCGTTGCACACGATGCACAAATTTGCCCATTTCGGGCACGTGTCAGACGTTCTTTTGGCGTCGCACCATTGCTTTCAAGTCTAGCGAGATAATGATGAAGCATCATCAGGTTCTCATTTCAAAGGATATACAAGTGCTTAAAAAAATAATATACATTAACTAAAACATAAAAATCAATTATATAAAGTTTAAAAATAAAAATTTATTTAATTTATAAAAATATAAATTTGTACCAAATTCCAGCTTTTTGGGTCAATAATATTTTTGGCATAAATTGAGACAAAAAAATACTTGTTAAATAATTTGGAAACTGAAAAAAACCTAAAAAACGGTTTACTAAACCTAAAAACGAGATAGAAATTTTTTTTGTTCCTTATTTTGAAATTTTTTCAATCTTACTATACTCTGAAATGCTGACCTACGACAAACCTACAATAAATGTCTGAGTTTTTTCAAGTTCCTTTGAAAAAGATGTCATTCTTTTTTTTTCATTCAATAACAAAGGCGGGGTGTTGACAAAGTTGAGAACCTATTTTTTTTTTTTTTTTTTCTTTCGAAAAGTATGGAGAAGTTGGTCAGCATGTCATATGGTCAATAGCCACTGGCCGTGTGGGTGGATCAATGTGCAGATGCCATGGACCCCTAGAAGAGCAACCCTTCCGTAATAGAGTTGAACGAAGGGGCTGCGTGCTAGATTTTTCTGACAATGTCAGTAGAATTTAGAAATGCATTATGCATTTTGATGCGAACGATGAGGAGGAGGACGCGTGGTCCAGCTTATAACGGTAAATTGAAGGGGGTTGAACTTGAAATGTGTGTCAAAAGGCCGCAAATTGCGGTGCCACCTTTCAACGAAACCGTGACGTTTTTCAATCCCAATGCCCTAAATCCCAAATTCCCAAAGCGATATTATAATACATATCACTTGCTGGATGAAGAGAAAAACTTCTGCGAAATTCGAAACGCCACGTTATACTTATATGGATTTTTAGAAATTCATCACATAGTCACGCCAAATACATTTCAATTTTTTCCCGAAATATTTCTAATATTACTTTCAAAATGTATCAATAAATGAAAAGAGAAATAGAAAAGAAAGAGAAAAAAATTCGTTTTAACAAATTATTTTTGTAAAAAAGCTTCCTGCTAACAAATTTTCTAAAAAAAAAATCATTCACAAGGAGAAAATAAATACCAAACAAGTGAAATTACACTTCTTTTTTTTAATAACCAATTCAAACAACATAAAAATAATCTATTGAGTCTTTTTCACTACATGCGGAAGATCATATTTGCCCCTGACGCATTTCACCTTTACTCCTGGCAAATCCCTCACCCTCCCACATCGGACGAGAACAACGTTATGCTCCTGTAAATTATGTCCAACCCCTGCAAGCGAAAATCACTTATTTCGAAATCCTAAAAAACTATTTTTTTTTTTTAATAATTCCATTCTTTTTACCTGGCACAAAAGCAGTCATTTCTTTCCCATTTGAAAGACGAACCAGAACGCACTTTCTGTTTGCTGAATTTGGTTTCCTTGGTTTTTTAATAAGTGTTTTAAGAATGACTCCTTTTAAAAATGGATTCCCATCCAATGGCCTTGGCCTTTTACGTTTTTTAATTCTCGGTCCCCTTTTATGCATTTGCCAAAGAGAACTTCCATATCTGGTACACTGAAGTCCCGATAATCCTAATAAAATTTAATATTAGCCCTCAAAAGCATTATTATACCATTTTAATAGATGATAATTGATTTTCAAACATCTCGAGTATTAAAATAAAATTAATATCTTTCATAATTTCGAAAAAAAAATGAAACAATGTTACAAAATTACGTCAACTACTTTTTTTTCTTCCTCTAATTAGAGAAATGCCCTCGAGAAATTTTTCTCAACTTTAAATTTTAAAGCATATCATTAATAAGTTTCCACATAGATCAATATAATAAAAAAAAAAAACTTCCACCGTCTATTAAAATTCAAATCAGAATCAATTTACACCAGAAAAAAATTTACAAACTTTTATGGCCATACTGGGAATATTTTTCAAAAAGAATTTTCCAACATTTATTTTCTAAAAAGATAAAATCAACTAAAACGAATTTCGCAAAAAAAATACCTGTTCTTTGAACTTTAAAAACTGATGAGGGTAATCGATCAAAATATAAGGGAACCTTTTAATTTCTATATGTTGTCAAGCATCTTGAGAATTGCGCGAGAAGATGAAAAAAGAAGGAAAAGAATACATATAGCGTGGAAAAAGAAAGTCCTATACATATTTTGTGGATTAAAGAGAGACAGAAAATCGAACCAAAATGTTTGGAAAAAGGTATATGTATATGTATATACCGAGAACTATGTTAGGAGCTTGAAAAACTCTTTCGCAAATAATATAATAATCTTTGGGGACAACAAGAAAAAGGGAGTGGAGGCTTCCCAAAAACCGGAACACCCTGGCGAAATATCAAATATGACAGACGCTTGACATCTGCAAGCCTCTCTCTCACTCTCACCACTGGTCTTCAAGACCTTTCTCGATGGTGCGTGCATAAGCTTATTAAGTAACAATGTTACGAAGCAAGGTCCATCCCCAAAAGCGATGGTCACCTTCGAGATTTTCAAGATCCCAAAAGTGGACAACTCTTTTGTCAATTGATATTTCCTCAAGAAAAAAAAGAAGATCGAGAAGAAAAAAGGGGCGGAGTAAGCCTCTTTTTCCATTTGCATGAAAATTCTTTCGCAATCATAAGTATTATTCTCTTTTCTGTAACAGGAAAAGAGATGCATTCTTAAGGTTTAAAGAAAATTTTTGAAATATTATATGGGTCAACAAATTTTTGGAAAAAAATTTTTTTTACAATTCTATTTTCAAAAAAAAAAGAAAAACGGAAATTCTTTTTGTGCTGCTTTTTAAATTTCGATTATTCTAATTGTGTAATAAATTGTAATTTGTTTTCGAAAATTGTATAAACAAAATTTTCTAAATCTTTTATTAATTATGGTATAAAAAAACAAACTTTTTGATTTATGCACAGTAAGAAAAAAAGGTTTGATTTGACAACATTTTGTTTAATATACGTGCATCCAAAATTTTTGTTGTGTCAACAAAACTTTAATTATTCCAATCAGACTTCACTTGGGATAACCAAAATTATTTTACACATATATTAACTAAAATATTTTATTGTCAACTAAAACCTTTTTTTTCAATGCAATTTTTGCAACAAAAACAAAGTCGGTAGAGAGTGTTTCAATTTTTTCTAAAATTTTGTAAATGTGTTTTATTACAGGAAAAGCAGTCTCTGAGAAAAAAGAATTTAGAAAAATTTTCCTGGCATCTAAGTTTCAAATAGATTTTTTTCAGAATCAAATGTCTTTAAAAATAGATTTTATTATTCATATTTGAAAAATTATCTCTCTAAATCTGAATTAGTGAAAAGTGAGTTACTAATTTAAATTATTAAGAATTTTCACTAATTTTTAGTCACTTTTCACTAAAACTTTAGTAAAAAAAGTTAAAACTACTAAATCAAATAGTAATATTTTACTAAAAATTAGTAAAAATTCTTACTAATGTGAATTAGTAGCTCATTTTTCACTAATTCAAATTTAAAGAGATAGTATAAATAATATTCACAAGCCAAAATTCAAAAACTAAAATGTTTGATTTCATTAAAAAAAAAAATTTGAAATTTTAATTTCATTGAATTTATCATTACTTAAATATTAGGTTTTAAAAAATCGTAGGGATGCTATTTATTGACAAAGTAAAATCAAATTTTGTTGATAAATTTTGAAAATTTTTTCTAGCTGATGTTAAAGTTTGAATTATTTGTATATTATTTATTATACATTATTATAATTTATTATATTCTCTCTAAATCTGAATTAGTAAAAATGTTCACTAATTTAAATTAGTGACTCACTTTTTGCTTTAGAATTAGTTAAATTTTACTAATTGTTAGTAGAAGTTACTAATAATTAGTAAAATTTTACTAATTCATAAGCAAAAAGTGAGTCACTAATTCAAATTACTAAACATTTTTACTAATTCAGATTTAGAGAGTTTTATTATTAATTTTTTTATTTTATTTTTTATTATAATTTTGTAAAAAAAATCTATCTCAAACTTTGATGCCTAGTAAATTCTACAATTATTTTAAAATTCTAATTAAAAGAATCCTAATCAGTCGAAAATTATGTAAATTTCAATACGTAATGGAAAATGCAAAAAACCTTTAAAAACTCTAGAAAATGGAAAAAGTATATAAAATTTCAAAATATTTGAATGCAATGTCAATTTCTATTTTCAGTTGATTCTGAAAATATAATGAAAAAAGGATTTTTGAGGATACATCTCATTTTGAAAGTATATATAGACCCGTCAAAAATTTTTCTTGGAAGTGATGACTAACGTTACGAGAGAGAGAGAGACTTTCGCGACATTATTATTATTATATATATGTTAGGGTGTATGCGCCGTATATATATATTTGTATAGAAAAAGTCCCCATTGACATGATTGTGAGTGTGTGGGTGAGAATTTTTGGACATGTCTGTACTATTGTTGTTCATTTTCGAGATATGACTGACCAGCGTCCATCAATACGACAGATGTCCGAAACGTGGCGCGCTCGCTAATCCTACCTAACTTGGACTTAACTAAGCCAAAAGAGACCAGCAAAATCCATTATGTTTCGAAAAGTAACCCCTTCCAAAAAAAAAGATCAATACGCGTAAGATTACATTGCGAAAAATTTTCCACGTCATTGTCATTCTCCAAAAAGTTGATTCATCTTTGTTACATTCAAAATTCTCTCAAGATCCATGCAAAATCATTTTCTTCGCGCTTCTTTTATAAACGATCTCAGCGTTAAAAAATGTTTTACTGTTAATTCTAATTCTACTCAAATAATAATTTCATTAAAAATCAGTTTTTTTTTTCGTCAAAAACAAAATTAGTTTCGATACTTTTCTCTGCATCTGAATTAAAAATAAATCAGCTTAATCCTGTTATATAAATAAATTAGTAAATTTTTTTTTAAATTTAACCAAATTATTATTAAAAATGTCCATAAAACTGGAATTCAATTAAAATTAATAATTTAATTTTTACTTATCCGTGTATTCGTTTAATAAAATTGTAACTTAATGTAATTTACATTTAATAGAATTTAAAATTAACAGTGTTATCAATGTTTAAACAGATAAAACATTTTTTAAGTAATGAATATTACAACAGAAAATAATTATGTCCTTAACATATTTGTTACGTAAAATACTTAGATTCTAATTACATTAAGCTCAAAAAGAATTCGGAGAATTAGTGCAGTAATTAATTTGTCATTAAAAGAAAAACCTTCAACACTAGTGTTTGGTTCAATTAAAAATTTAATTTCTCATAAATTCTTTTTTTTTATCACAAATTTAGTACCAAAAATTTATTTAAGTTCAACAAATTTTCTACTTGAAAGAACCAAAAAATAGTGAAACATTTTATTATATTTCGCCTAAAGTCAATCATAATTAACTAAATTTTTAAAAATTAAAAAACAAATTTTTCTATAGATGAAAAAAAATTTCCTCAACGAAAAATAAATAACAAAAAGCATTATTCACATTTCTGTGAATCAAAGAAATCTTCATTCTAAAAACCATTTATATATCTTATAATATTAAGTTAGAAAATAATTATTTTTTAATATTATGATTTTCAGTAACAAAGAATATTTTTGAAAGGCATAAAACATAAAATGAAAACGAAAAAGAAGAATCAAAGGAACATAATGTTATAAGAATCCTAAGAAAATGATTCTGTTATACTGAAAATATTCTCCTTTTCTTTTCTTTTTTGTTCGAAAAATCGAGAAAACTCGAGAGAAACAGGAAAGAGTGTTTTTCTCACAGAACGCGGATGTATTCTTTTTGTCTGACAACTGGTCAACCGCAAATGGACATGTCACCCCCTCAATTCCCACCAATTTTACCATTGGCTGTTTCCCAACACAGCATCCCATTCTTCCTGTGCTCAGTACTACCCTTTTATTATATTCTCTCTCTCTCTCTCTCTCTCTCTCTTTCGAGTTTCTTTTTTTTCGCGGGGATCAAAGAGGTAAGCTCATAGTTCGCTTTTGCCAGCCACACGCGCATTTTTCGCAAAGAATATATACACACATAATACGGAAAACGTATTCAATATATGAGATGGGAAATCGTGAACCAGTTTTAGAATTTTGTCCCTCCTTCTTATACTATAAATACATATACATATATATTTTTCAAATATTCACTCCACCCTTCCGCACGGGCCTAAGAGAGATACAGATCTCAGTATTGAAACTTGAGATTGTCATAAGGCTACTTCGTGACCGGATTTTCTGTCACATTATATGCTTTTATGGGAAATGCAAATAAAGAAAGTGACATTTCAGACGATTTCATGTAAATAGGTCACTGTGACTTGGCAAACGCTTATAACAGAAAAGATTTTCAGATTTTCGAAAATTGTAAGCACGCATTCTTCAAGATTAAAACATACATTGCTTGGAAAATAATCGGGACGGATTAACACGATAATATCCCATGAAATTTGTAAACAGTTATTGAAAACATTTTTTTTTTTTTTCTATCCAAGAATATAAAATGGCCATAAAAGTTAGCAGATTTTTTTTCAAAAAAAAATCGTTTTTCGCACTCTCAATTTTTTTTGCATACTAATTATTCGATTCAAATAAATGTTTATTTGATAATACTTATTAAGCAGCTTATTAATAGCTGATTTATCAAAATCTCAGAACTTCACACTCACCCTGTGTCGTATTAAATGACTTCATTATATTAGACATTATATTTAATTTCCCTGTGTTCCATAATGCAGCTAAAATTAAATTATGATTTTAGTAATTGCTTTGTCAATTTTAATTTAATGGGAATTTTTTTTTATTTTATTTATCTGTATGTTTACCTGCACAGTTTGAATGTGAGAAACGATTTATTATAGAAGTAGTATTTCCTGAAAAATTATGTGCATTAATTTCTATTTCTTAATAAAGTGTATATTAATTAATTTATTTTGTAACCCTTTCAAAGGCGATTTTATGTTATGTTACTATATTATATTATTTAATTTATTTTTTATTTATATTTATTAAGTTACTTTGATTTATTTGTTTTTATATTATTTCAGGTATAATTATTTTTATACTTAAAATTCAGTGCCAATGATAGAAAGATTTTTTGAAAAATAAAAAAATATATGCGCCCTTGTAAGCGTTGAATAAAAATATCTCTACAAATGAATAAACAATGTCTAACCTGTATTTTTACTATAAACGTAGTTGCGCAGTAAATTTGGTGCATTTCCTGCAAAATCAACGTTAATTTAATTAACAATTTAAAATTACCGAAAACCCAAATAACATTTTGTTTAATTCCACGTATTTTAAACTTAATTAATAAAGTCCAGTATTTTCTAATTTTGAATAAAAATTTAAAAACTAAACTTGTTAAATATATTAGAATTTTTCGAATTATATTTTTCTAAATAGAATTGCTTGATTACACATATTAACAATATTAATTATTAATTTATAACAAAATAAAACATAAACTCAAAATTGAGGTTAGGAAAATTATGTCAACTCTACCGATTAAAATACAAACTCATACCTTGAATGTTATTTCTTAAACAATATTTAGCGATGTTAGAAACACTTTTAACTAGAAGACTCATGTTTCTAAACTATAAATCCTTTTATAATTAATATTTCATCGTAAATTGTTAAAAACTCTTATAAATCACACTCCAATTGCTACAACATTGATAATCTAATGCGACGCCTAATGGAAGAAAACGGAACTACTTCATCATTGCGGATAAAGGAGATTCCTGAAGACTGGTTGATAAAGTAGATTTCTCAAAAGTTATTTTATTCAAAAATAAAATTAATATAATTTTATTTTTACTATTTAGTTAAATGTTAAATATTTAACCCAACGATATATTCCTGAAGAAAGGGAAAAACTTAGAAGAAAAATCTACATATAATGAAACTGCAACCCGTCCTACACCGAAGTATGAATAAAAAACTAATGAAAGATTAAATCAAAATGTAATTAATTTAATTAATTACTTATATTTATTAAATTAATTAAACTAATTAAAATGAAACTATTTAAAAAATTAAATAGTCTACCTGATAATAAAAAGAAAATAATTAATATTGTATTAAATTCGAATATTTTCTCCCATTGTGATTTTAATACAATAAAAAACAAAAATTAAGAAATTAATTTAATCCTTAAAATTAAAATAAAATATTATTTAATTAAAATTTGTTTAAAGATTAACGCAGTATAAATATAACTGCTAAAAATCGTATTAAGAAAGGCGCGAAAAATGGAAAATTTTAATTTTTCCGTTGTCCGAGGAATTATTAATTAAATAATTTAAAAATAAACCGAAAAACATTTTTTACGTTTGTATGTGGTTTAAGGATATATTTCTTTTTTAAAAAAAAGTAAAAATTTAAAGTCCAAAATTATTTTATTTTAAAAAATACAAAAAATTGAGGAAAATGTATTTTTTTTCACAAATTGCAAGAGCGATGTAAAAAATAATTATTAATATATTGAATAAATTTTGTTTATGTAAAAGTTTTGAACTTTTACACTACTACAAAATTTACCAGCCATGCAAGTAGTTTAATCCATGTCCAATTGAGTGATATCCAAAACGTGGCACAGTATAAATTGGCGCAGTATAACCATGATTAATTGCAGCATGAGGTGCTGTATAAGCATGAGAGTATGAAGGGGCAATTCCGTGTCCTACTGAATAAACTGGAGAACTTAAATATCCATGATGTCCATATCCTAATTATTAAAATTGAAAGAATCAATTAACAAAAATATAAAATATGATTATTAGGTAAAATTTATAATTAATTAATTAAAATTATTATAAATTTTACATTTTTTTCTCTAAAAAAAAAAATACACAAAAATTTACACTATTTTGTGAATTTTTTTTTCAAGTTGAAATATTAATATTACCTCCATAACCATTTAAACCATTTAAACCATAGTAACCATTGTAACCTCCATATCCAAGTCCTAAAACTCCTCTTTTGTCAACCTTTTTGTCTGTAGCAACTTCTTCGGCGAAAATTGGTGACGCAACCAATGCAAGGATTGAGAAAAGCACCTAAAAAATTAATCACACATTAAAATAAAAATTATCAATTTTGATTTATGATTAGTTTCAATTTTGAAAAACATTTTTTTATTCCTTAACTTCAATTACTTAATTCAAAAAAATTAATTATTTTATATAAATAAATTTTCTTTGAATTAAATAAATTTTTGTTAATCAAAAATTTATTAAGTTCAAAAATAAATTCTCTATAAATCAAATAAAAATATATTTTGTACCAAAAAAAAATTCTATTAAAGAAAATGATTTTTTTTCTAAAATTGAAAAAATTTTTTTTTTCTATTGGTGTAAAAGTGAATTAAAAAAAAATATTTACTTACAAGGGTATGCATGATGAGATAGTATCAATAAAGATTGCTCCAGTGAAACTGATGCAGAAACCATCAGACACACCCCCTTTTATACCGGTGAAGTTTTCAAACTAGGATATTGCATCCATTTCATTTGACGTATTTTATGGAACAGTATCTGTATCACTCTTTCACATATACACACGCAATTGTTAAATCACATACTAAAAAGACAAACGTATATAAGATGTGCACATGGTGCAATATTGCTGTGCACACGCCTTTCTAATACAATTTTTATTTGTCTCATAGATAGATATATTCGTCACGAAATTTCTTTGTTACGAGATTCATTTGATTAGGAATTAAAATTTATTCCCGCGGTATAGGAAAAAAAAAATCATCAAGTTCCTTCTCAAATCTAATTTATAAATTCACGATTACCACCAAACGATTTAAAAAAAAAAAAATCTCTAAATATTTCTTATAATTTAATAATAAATTATTTATAAAAATATTAGGTATAATAATCATAATTTTTTTGGGAGGAAAGGGGAAATATTAATTAATATTAATTATTATTGGTTTATGAATATATTAATTCAAATATAATTTATAACAATTAAATATTAATATTAATTAATAAATATTAATTAATTAATATTTAATTTTACCGATAAATATTTTTTTTACCCTTTTCAAATCAACGAATAATTTATTTTGCTATGTAAAAAATGTTCTTCACTCGATATTACAAGACTTGACTCCTTGATATTGTCACAATCCGCATGTCACACTAAATTTTCCTTGCGAAATAATCTTTTTCCTCCATTGAATTAAATAATGGAAATGTTTATATTGTATACACATATACATGTATAATCAAGCAATATTATATTCCCCATACGTCGTCGTTCTGTACATTTATTTTCATAGTGAATTGCTCAAAAAAAAAAAAAAATTAAAACAAAAAATTACATTTAAAACTAATTTATTAATTTTTTTGGGCTCAGAGAAATTTTTTATTCAAACCAAAAATAATGTATTTAAATAAAATAGAAAAATATATTTGCTTCAAAACTATAACTATTTAAATAAAAAATATATTTCAAACAATAAATGTTTATTTAGCACTGAGATGAATATATTTTTTCTTTGATTATGTACATCAGAGGATAATTATGAATTTATTTAAAAAAATATCAATATTTGCCAAATTTTATTTTTTAAAGTAACATTCCATAAATTTGGTTTTTCGAAATATGAAGAATCAAGTATGACACGCGGAATGTAAAATATTTAAAATAAATGAAATAAATATTCAGAAAATAATTTGTAACTTAATTTGCCATATGTTGACAGTTTTTCTTATATAGTTACGGAATCAGTAAACGATCTAGGAGTGTACAATGCAAAAAAAGGAACAAGATTTATTGACATCAGACTTTACAAGATAAATGTCCACCTAAATTCGAATTCTTCAATAAAAATTATCAAAACATCGATTACTAGATGTATTATCAAATAAATAATTATTTGTTAAATAATTATTATCAAATAAATAATATCGAAACTTTGATATTATGACTTAATTAAAGCCACACTCGAGAAGACGAAATAAAGACCAAAGGAAAAAAAAAGTACAAAAAAAAAACTATTCCCTTTTCCATTTACGAACGACACACGTCATAAACTGGGCAATTATATAAAAGAATAGAACAACAGAAAGTGAAACTTTACAAATCTTTCAATAATGAACAGCAATTATAAGGAATTACGAGTATTAGAATCGATAAAATAGAAACAATAAATCGCACTCACAGACTTTATCAACTATATAAATTAAATCTCTCTCTCTCTCTCTATATAAAGTTATTTCCACTTATATGTCAATAAAATAAAATTGTCACACCAATCATAACAATTTCAAATATCAATTTTATAATAATAATTAAATATTATTCAATTATTATTACTATTATTAAAAATAAACTGAATGATAAAAAGAAAACTAAATTTTTTTAATCGAAAACATTTTATAAATTACATGTAATGTGTAATTATGTTATGACGAAATTTTGTACCCATATATATTTAAACGAATAATGTAATAGTCAAAACGGATTTGAATTAGATTGAAAATTTTATAAATGTAGGTACTAAATCTATTGGCGAATCTTTGTGATCTTGTTGAACGTTTAATATCTATCTCAAACATAAATATACAAACACATATAACTAAAAAGGTTTCGGTTAAAGAACAATGATCGACAATCGTAAATCAATATACAACTGCATTTTCCACTATGTACAGAGAAACGAAATTGAATTTAATTCTTCATTATTGAAAACCATAAATAAAGAATCGAAGCAGATTAAAGTGATTACTTTTGTTAGTTCGAGGTACTCATAAACAACGCACGTTGTGTAACTGTTATATATATACTTTCATATCTCTATCAAACATTTGACAGAATAAATAATTTCTCAAATAAACATTTTTTTTTTTTTTTATATCAAAATTAAAAGAAATTCATTATCATTCAAATTTAAATATTGTATTAAAAAACAAAATATTTACATTTTACAAAAAAAAAGTTCCATTTTATAAAATTTCCACAATGGAAAAATAAATTATTTTATTCAAATTTTCTATAACTTAACTATTACAAATAAATATTTTACTTGAAACAAATAATATATTATTATTTTTTCAAAAATATTTTTTATTTGAATAATTAATTAATTAATTAATTTTTACTTGAATAATTAAAAATATCACTAAAACCATAATAAAGTTTTTTTTAAAAATAAAATTCATTTTATAAAAAAACAAAAATATTTTTAGTGAAAAAATTTTTTTTTTACATGAATTAATTATTCTGTAATGCTTGACTTTTAAAATTCCTTCGAGTTCAAGATCTGTTATTTGATATACATTATAGGGTATTAAACTATAATATTTCTAATGTAATTCGTTACTTTAATAATTTCTCTTGAAACGATTGATACTTCCTCTATTACGTATAAAACCGAATTAAGATTTTGAATATGTAATTCAAGTCATTGGCTATTTAAAACAAATTTTTATATCAATATATTATTATGAGAAATTAAATAAAATTGATTATTTATACTTATTATTAAATAATTATTTATCAATAATGCATTATTATTTCTAATTTTTTAAATATTACCCCAACATCTAATATTACTTTGTTAAAATTACTAGAAACATGTGAAATGATTTAAATAATTGAAGCTATTATATTTTTAATATCATAATCAATTAAAATAAATTAAACAATAATTAACTCCTCAAAATACGAGTAATTAACAAATTTTTAATATAAAAATAAAAGGAAACACTCGCTAAAATAATTATGGCATGAAAATTTAAAAAATTATTGGTTTTGTACATTTATTATTGTAAAAATAGAAGGAAAAATAGTTTTTAAATTAATTGTCATAAAGAAATATTTAAAAAAAAAAATTGGAAATCTTCAATTTGAAGTTACCAACAAACGTTAAAATTAACGTCTGTCGGTAACTACTATTTGTAGTTTCAAAAAATAACATGAGAGGACATCACATTAATTTGTTGATTGTTGTGCAAGTACCACATGAGGAAAGTGTAGTAAAGTGTTAAAGAAATATAACATTTACAATAATTAAACATTAATAAGTTACTTCTTAAGGTGACAAATGACAATAAGTTTTATACAATTTGGAAAATCAATCAAAAACAATATTATTATTAAGTGTCAAGTGCTCCAAAAAAGTACAATCAAACATTAATTTACAAATATTTTTACAATAATTTTATTACAAAAAAAAATAATTTGAAATTAAAAATCCAGTGTCAATAGTGTTATAAATTGTCATGAAACTAGCTAAATATTAAATTACTTTGAATAAGTAAGTTGAGGTTATGTTGATAATGGAAGAAATTTCGAGATCAGCGCGGAAAATTTTTCAAATTCAAAATGTTTTTTTCATTCATCATCGTCACGCAAGTTTTAAAAGAGAAAATGGAAGAAAAAAAATAGTTTACTCTCATGCAGCTTCAAAAAATCATGAGAGAGAGAAAAAAACTTTATTTGGTCCCTTAGTTGAGACACTGCCCGAAAAAAGAAAACGTTTTGATTTGGGTAAAGAGGACGAAATACCCAAGAAAATTCTTAAAAATCTTGTAGAAGAAGAAGAGCAAATCATTGTAAAAGCAAAAAAAAGACCTTACAAACAAGTGGAAATGGATTTTCTCACAAAAAATATCAATAGGAAAAATTTGAATATGATACAATTATCATCGAATAAGATATCAGAAATAAAGAATAAAAATATTGTATATAATATTGTGAATAAATCTACTTATAATAATTATCGATATGGCTTGATAAATGATGAGGGAAATTCCAAAAAATTAACAACTCCATCAGAGATGGAGGATCAAAAAAATGAAATTAATGTCAAAGAGAAAATATTAGAAACAAATAATGATGATACTGAAAAAGAAATAACTACAAATAAAATTTGTCCCTCGGCAATAATTATTCAAAATATGCTGTCTTTTTCAATATATGACAGTACAAAGTCAGGAAGAATTGCTCATAACAAACTGCCAGTTACCAACGGGATTATTTCATTATCTGCAAAAACTGAGAGTTCCAATAAAAATTTACCAAGTGTGACACGTATTTTATCTGCGACAATGTCAGAGACTGCAAAAAAGACTTTAGAACGATGGAAAGCAGAGATGATAGAAAAACTAGGAATAGACGGATTTAATGAATATCAACAAAGTATAATTATTATTTCAAATTCTATTTTTCAATTATTAATTATATTTTGAAAAAACAAATTTTTTAATCTATGAAATAAAAATTTTAAATATCATAAAAAATAAAATTAATAATTCTATTTTCCATTGCAGATTTATTCAAAGACGGACACGATCTTCATAGTGCAATTGAAAATGCTCTACTTCAAAAAGAATATCAAATCCCGGAAAAAGTTAAGCCTGCCTTTGAAAGTGTACAAAATGTATTAAAGGATATAAGTTCAATCACTGCTCTTGAATCTCACGTAGTTCATCCAAAACTTTTCTACCGAGGAATTACCGACTGCGTTGCAACTTACAGGTAAAGTAGAATTTCAAACCCCTTATCAAGCACAAAAAAAAAAGAAAGAATAGAAAAAAATCTGTAATCCTCCCCTAAACATGATCATATAGTAAATCAAGACGAAAGATGGCTCCAGCATCTCAAGTTGTAGAATTTACAATTAATATTTCAATTTTCAAACTAATCCGGTCATTGAGAAATCAATTTGCTTTTATAAATGAAATTCTGTTTTGTAGAGGCGATCTGTGTCTAATCGACTGGAAAAAATCTGATAAACGAAAGGATACAATTGAATCCATTTATGATGCACCGACGCAAGTAGCGTCTTATATTGGAGCCATTAATGCTGATTTGAACTATCCATTTGAGGTCAGTTGAAAACTTTTTTGCAAAACACAATAATATTTTAATAAACATAAAATATAAACATTTTTTTTTCATTTAACCCTTTTCAGCGACTCTAAGGCACAAAAAAATTATTTATTTATTTAAATTAATTTTTTAATAATAATTAAACATTTAAATTATTACTATTAAATTTTATTTAGAATACTTCAAAAAAAAAAAATACCGTTTTTTTTTTTTTTTTTTTGAAAAAAAAGTAGAAAATTTTAGATTATTGAAAATTAATCCTTTTTTTAGAATAATAAAGTTTCTAAAAATAATGAAAAATATTGTTTCATTTTGCATACAAAAATCGTGCCTCAAGAGGGTACGTATTGAAAATACTGAATTACATTGGCATTTAAAAATAAAATATAAGAATTTTTTTTATAAATTATTGAACAGTTTTTAATTAATTTAATATGTTTGTTCTCAGATAAAAAAAGGTCTTGTTGTTGTTGCTTACACGAATGGTGAAGAGGCAACAGTGTACGAAATAGATCACGAGAATTTATTTATTTATTGGAAAACTTGGCTAAAACGTCTACAAAAATATTTTGTAGAAACAAAAAAGATGTAGATTTATGACAAAAAAAATTGTACAGATAAATAAAACTATTTTCACTTTAATAAGTTAAGAATTAATATTAATTAATAAATAAATAATTTTGTTTTTTATATTTTGTCTTTTAAATATTTTTATGTTTTAGGCATTTTCTTTTTTATTTTTTTAATAATGTTCGTTTATTTATTTTAACGTTATTTGTGTGCGATTCGTTTAAATTTACTCGTTCTATCGAGATTTTCTTTTTCTTATTCGTTTCAATTTTTCCCTGTTATTGAAATTTTCACGAACCACTAAATCGATGTTCCAATACCAACAAGACGAAGGCGCGAGAGTTAGTCAGAGAGAACTTCTGACAGCACAAGTTTCAAATGTGATAAGTTATTGAGTTTTTTTTTTATCAAGAGGGGAATGAGATTTCTCGACAAGGGGTAACAACGAAATCCGTAAAACTTTTTTTTTAAGTCTCTTTTGAAAAACACTTTATGAGCCCACAATATGTCGTTTTTGGATTTTTATTTTTATTTCTAATATCGCGTCGAGGCAAGTTTCTTTTTCTACCCAGAAACTTTTCTTATTTGTTTATGTATTTTATGAGTATTATAGTTGTATTCCACTTAGGAAATACTGGTACGAAAGCTATTATTGGGGAGAGAGAGAGAGAGAAAATTATTGATCTAAACATCAGTAGAGTTTGCGTATATGTAAATCTAATAAAGTGGAACAAAATTTGCATAAATGTTTACATTGATTTCATTTTTCTGAAGATTTACTCGAATCAACATGCAACTGCAATGGAAACAGAATAGAATGTAATAAAGAGAAAAGTAATGAAATTAAGAAATTTTTGTGCCGTTGCAAAAATTTCAATATTTATTAACTTATCAGAATTTAATTTCCACTAATAATTAAAAACAAAAATTTAATTGCAATATTAATATATTGAAAAATAATGCAGAATTAAATTTAAATTTCCTTTCACAAATTATCTAATAGGCTATTTGTGGTCGATGGATATCTCAGAGGATTATTAGCACGTCTAATGGACCAAATTAACTAGAGATTATTCAATCAATTTTGAAGAGAGCTACCTTTATATAAATTAAATCAATTATTTAATTTGCATCGCAATATCAAACAACTTCAACTTGAAATTTATTGTTAGAATGCTTTAAAATAAATATGAATTTTAAATTCATCACTCATCTGTCTGAAATTATCTTTGAAACGAAATTTGTTTCAGTTAATAAAAAGAAAAATAGAGAAATTAAAAAGCGACTGTCAGACTAAACAATTGACTTTGATATTGTAAATTCCAAAAAAGTTTAATTAAAAATTTGTTAAACTTTTCAACTCTGTTAAATTATGTATTTCAATAAAAAGTTTAATTTTATAGTTGTAAACTAAAAGAAAATTCGTAAATTTTTATTTTATCCCCCCGTTCCAAGAACAATTATTTTTAATTTAATTAAATGTAATATTTTAAATTGAAGAAAAATTTTAAATAAATATAAATAATTCACGAATAAAAGAATAAGGAAGAATAATCTAAAAGATTTTCAACTACTTTTTTTGAACTACATTTTCGAATGTCAGTTACCCAGAGACACATACTCTCGTAAATCGCCTTTGTTGCTCTCAAAAAGAGCCGAAGGGCATATTTGAAAATCTTGATCTTCATGCATAATTCCACACATCAAATGCACCATGTACGTGCGCGCAGTTTCATCCTCTCACAGAAAAGGTGAAATACGTGACGTTATCACACATACACACACACAAGACTCTACAAAGCACGAAAAAAGTTCCGAATGAATGAGAACAGAATTCCTAATTATTCGCGCAGTGCATTTTCGCGACACTTTTGCAGTTAGAGCAGTTTCTTTCTTTTTTTTCGATTTTTGTAGAAGCGAGAACGTACAAAAGAAGGCATGAATGGATATCAACGGAAGAATGTGACCCGGAAGTATGAAGAATCTCGGGGATGGAAAGGAAGAAAAAAAAATATGTCGAAGCAAGTGCTGACTAAGGTCGCGTCTCGTCGTATAGCCGAGAGCAACCTCATGAATTTAGGGGAAGAGAGCGAGATAGAACGAGAGGAGAAATTCAACGAGAGGACGCGACAGTTCGGGTGCGAGACCTTTTCAGGGTGAAAATGGGAGTTGAAGCTTATTTCCGCAAAAAAGAGAACGACGACCATGAGAGAAGTGCATGTTCTCTGAGCTCGTGTCGAGGCCAGAGAGAAGTAATAAAAAAAAGGGTGTCATGCCGTAAAAAAGATCCCTTCCAACCGACGTTTAGCAATTATAACTTTTGCAGGGACATCCCTTTTGCGTAAGGTTGTGCGTAGCCACACGCATTATATGGGGCCCCAAAGACCTCTCACGTTCTAACCAACCCTTCGCGTATATATGCCCATGGGGACTGTAAACTAATGGTGAGAGTGTGTATATATATATGTATATCTATATATGGAAGTTATCTTTCATGTGGATGTTATAACACGGTTAGAATGAAGGGGGATGTTAAAGAAAGCACCTGTCTCGAGCTTCTTGCGCTCAGACAACGAATGGCTGACTTCCGCGTAAATAAAACGTGGAATAAATTTTTTCTTAATATACACAACCGCACACCGAGAGCTTTCAAGACCCTTTATGATTCATCATCTTCAAGCCGATGGACCAGTGCGTTTCCACTTCGAAAAACACACAAAAAATTTCCTTTTATCACGAAAAATATTTCATACAATAAAAATATTAACAACTACCTATAGTTGTACAAATTTTTCATATATAATTTTTTTTAATAAAAAAAAATGTTGCACAATATCTTTTTGCAATATTCCTTTGAAAGGTTCTATATACGTTATAGTAAATAAAAGTTGAGTTCATAAATATTTATTTTGAAAATTGATAAATGAACCCGATATTCTCATTCCTCGTTGAGAACTTTTTTTTTTTTTGCTTTGACATAAAATATTCATGATAAAAGGGGGGACGAGCAGAAACAAACGTGAAATTAATTAAAATTGAAATTAAACTGTCTCATTGGGACGCATTATAAAAATTTTTTTAATATTCACTATTCCTAATAATAATTCATTCGATTGAATTCCGGAAATATTTCTTTGATTCTAGAATTATTAAATAATTGCTTATTAATAGAATGGATTTAGTAGTTTAAATGTTAAAAAAAAATAAATAAAAAGTATGTACCGACTGTGGTAATTCTCTCTTCAAATACAGCAATGGTATAGCAAAATAACAGGACAGTTTTGTTTGTGAGCGTGTAGCACATCCTTCTTTTTCTGAAATGGATCTTCTTTTCCTTCCTCTCCTCCCGAGGAAGCTTTGTATTTATTTGCCAGTCCTATAAATATAAATACACAAATTTAAAACTTTACATTATTATTAAAGCTTGGAATTGGAAAATTGTACTTACTCCAAATTTACAAAAAAAAGTACCTGAAAAATTTGCAATAGAATATAAATAAAAAAATTTGTAATTTAAATTCAATTTAAAATATTAATTGTAAATATTCTCTAAATTCTTATATATGATAAATGTAGTATAATAAATAAATATATATATAAAAAGGTTAAGAATATAATAAATTACATATTCCTGAAAAAATAAATGATTAATACAATTAAAAAGAAAAATTATTTCTCACCACGATGATTCAGCTGAAAATAATGATCAATTTAAACAAAACATGCACCAAACATTTAAGACAATCACAAAACACTTACATAACATTAAAATATAAGACAACATAGTGACAAAAAGAATAAAAAATTGAAATAAAGCAAATTTTCACTGGTACTCCAGTTACTTGCTTTTTTACTTACATTTTTCACCCGATTTCCCTACCTATTGCTATATTTAAAACGAACATAAATGCCTATTTTTCCCGAATTTCCTACCTACATTTATATTCTAAACGAAACTAATACCGCCCAGGTGCAAATTTCCTACACTAGGGTTAACGTCCCGGGACGCAACCGTCACCTGAGCGATCTTTTCTGAAAAGGAAACATTTAATTAGTCCATTATTAAAAAATTATCAAAAACCTTTAATTTTTAATTCCACATGCATTAACTTTTCAAAATTTAATATAAAATTTATTATGCAAAATTGAAAAATTATTAACAAAATTAATTAATTAAATTATTTAAAGTTAATAAAATTTTATAACTTTAGTTTAAATTACTTTTTTTATAAAAAAAAAAATTACTTTGACTCAATAAGAAAAATTATAAAATATTAAACATACAGTAAATAAATGACATACATAATATATAAACAATGAAAAAATATACATTGACAATAATATTAATTTACGTTTTATTAAGGTAATAATCCACAAAATATGTAATACTTTAGGATATGGGGAGTGTTAGAAATTTTAAGGGACTAAATTTCCAAAAATATCACATCATTTTGTTAGATTACCCCTAAAAAATACTAAAAAATAATTTTTGTCAATGGTGTCACCATGTTGTCAGAATCCTTCCCTGTTTTTAAAATTTTTATATTTTATCTAGATCAATATAATGTATTGATTCAAAAAAATGATAAAAGTCAAGAAAATTCGAAAAATTTACAAATTTTGAATATCAAAAAAATGAATTTTTAATTTATAATTAATAAGTCTATTTTAATTGAATTTATAAAAAAAAACTGTTTTAAACAGGGAAGGGATTAAATAAAAAACGACTCACCGATCGGCGAATCATCCCTCGTCGGGACAATAACGTCATTGCCACTCTCGAGCGCTTCAGGGCCAGCTCCCGAGGATCCCTCTTTCTTGCTCGCACTTCTGCGTGAGGCCGGGAGCTCAAAAAAAAATATTATAAAAAAATAAGAAAAAAGAAAAAAAAATTTTATAAAAAAAATGTATGCAGGGGCCACTTTTCTTCTTCCACATCCTTCCCAGTCTTTTGATATTTAGAAAATTGGAATGGACCTGAATAAATAAAAAAATTTCTTAAATTAAATTATGCAATTATTTTCTCAAAACACTATTAAATACTAAGTTGAACAAGATGCATGTTATTGATTGATAAAAATTTATTATATATTTATAATTTATTTTATGTATGAATTTTAAACGAATTATAATTTTTAAATTTGTATATAGAATTAACTATATTGAAAAAGGCTCACCTGTATGGGGGGATTTCTGCGTAGCGTCAGAGATACGATGACACCATATCCTTTTTATAAAAGGACTTCCTTCTTTTATACCTGAAAAAATATAATAATTCATAATGTTAGTGTAAAATAAAATATTAAAAATCATCAATATTATCAAATATTTTTAAATATATTGACATTTGATATTCTATCACAAGTTATAAATATTACAATAAATTAACTTTTTTTATTCTATTTATTTATATTTCTTAAACATATTGAAAAAAAGCTCACCTAAATGGGGGAATTCCTGCGCCGTGTATGATACGATGACAGCATATCCTCTCTTGAAATGGACAAATCTTTCTGCTACTGGACCAACTGTCTGAAAAAAAATAATAATTCATTATATTATATGTACAAAATGAAATATTTAAAATTCTAAATATTATCTTAAAATACAAAATTTAAGAGGAAAAATTTATGATCTACATACATTGAACTGCGACTCAGCTATACAAGATCTCCTCCAGGAGCAGCTCCGCAACAAACACCCATCCTTCATGATTGGACACCTGTAAATTGAGAAAATAAATTATTTTACATATTAACCTAAAATAAGATTTTCAAGATAAAATTAATTTAATTATTTCTTAAGTTGATTTTATAAAAATTAAACATTTTCTTAATACCAGTTTTTTTTGTAAATTTTAATTAATTAACAATATATTTGTTGATAATTAAAAATAACTTTAATGTAATTTTCATGAAAAATTTGCAAACCATTTATATTTACTAAAATAATAATTTTTCTATCAAAAGCAGAAAAAACCTATAGTAATAAATATTTACCGAAAAATATGAGACAAAGGACTCACTTATTCGAAGATTCAGTAGAAGTTATATCATTTATCATCTCATCTATAGATAATAATTTCATCTAATTCTTCTCCAAGTTCGAATTGACGCCGAAAGAACATATTTTTTCGCTTTTTTCTGAGATTCTATTTATTAACCCTGTAAATAAATAAAAAGAAAAGATAAATATTTATGTGATACGAATTTTAATATCAGTTAAATTTTGTCTTGTATTTTTACGGCGGACAGATATCCGAACAGATATTGAATGGAAATTGTAAATTTTTAGGTTAAATAACAAAAATTTGAAATTTGACAAAATATTAAAAATTCTGATGTTTACCAATAAAAATTAACTTTAATAATTTCCGTATTCATTCATTCATTCCGTCTGTCCACACTTGAAGTTAGTCGTATTTTGTTCCTTTTGTTTTTCTAAAATTTTGACAATTCTTGATTTCGTAATATTTTATGGTTAACACGACGGATATTTTTATTTATCGCCATTAATTAAGTCATATACTAAGTGACAGTTTAAAGTAAAAAAAAAATATTGTTCATTGTGTGCAGCACCAGTATATTTCCTACTTGGTATTTATAGAAAAATAAGTTTCAATTATAATATAATTTTTATTATTATTTATAAATTTATTATATTATATATACATTTTTTTAAATATAATGATTATTACAGATAATTAGAACATTTTAACTTATAATTATTATTTATCTTTCATTATTTTTTCATTATTCATTATTATTTATTATATATTATTATTCACAAATTTATTATTATTAATTATTAAATTGTTATATTTTTTTATCTATAAACAATATAAAAATAGTTTGCTTTTTTAAAAAATTTTCAATTTGATTTTAATTTTTAATTTAAGTTTAAAGTTTAAAACATTACAAATTTTTTTTAGGTTTTATTTTTTCAAAATTTGAAATATTTTTTAATTGCTTAATACTTTTTAAAATATAATTAATAATTTTCTGTTAATTTAAATTTCTTTTTGATTACATAATTTTTTAATATTTATTAATTATCAGTTAATTAAATTTTTTGAAAAAAAACATAAATTTAAAATTTTTATTTGCAACGAAATATTTATAGAAAATACAAAAAAATATTTAACATAACTAATTTTTTGTAATTTGAAAGATTATAAAAAATTCATCGAACATTGACTTTATCAAAAATATTTATTTCTAAAATTTTAATATTTATATTTTAAAATTTTTACTTTAATTTATTTATTTATATAACATCAAACTCATTTTTTTCTGTGTATAAATAAATGATAACGTGAAAATTAGAAATATACCTATTATTAATTTAATACTCCACTGATGCAGAATTATTATTATTATTATTATTTTTATTATTATTAATATTATTATTATTTTAAAATAACCATTGCAATTGAAGTTGGACGCGCGCGTGTAATTTTGCTAGTTAGTTATAATCTTGAATATATAAGTTATGTATAACTGAATTATATACTAAAATATATTTGTAATTTGATTAAAATTATGATATTTTTTGTTTTTCACGAAATATTTTGTAACGTTCAATCGCGCTTTTTACAATGTGAAGCTAACCAACTGCACTCCTACCAACATATTTAGATTCTTTTTAAACTTTTTTTTATTGTAGACCTTGATTTTTACTATTTTCAATTTTATTAATAATAATTATTAATAAATTTATTTCTACTAAGTTTTTTTATATCAATTTAACAAAAAATTAATTGTTGCCAAGCGGCAATAATGTGAAGTTACAATATATGCAACAAATCAGAACAAGTTGTAACGCCAAAATTTTTAGGTTGTTTTTGTCAAAAAATTTTTACCTATATTTCTTATTTTTATTCATAGCTGCCACAAATCTTTCATGTATTTTCGATAATTTATATAAAACAGAAATTATTTACCACAAAATATCTATAATTAACGTTATGATGCTAATAAGAAAGATCAAAATTTGTCTAACGAAAAATTGTTCTTCTACTTTCAGTCGACGCCATTTGCAATATGATCAGCAGTGCCAACCCAAGTCCCAAGATAATAAAAAAAATGAACTTTCACTACTGCCAACATAAAAATAATTCTCTTTTGATAAAAAACTAATTTCCAGTTTTAATTTTTTATTGATTTGCTTTTTTCACAATTTTATTAAATAAAAATGTTATTATTAAGATTTGATTTATATATTTACCTTTGAATTAACATTACGAATTTACGAAGCTAATCTTTTCAGGTTATTTTTCGTAATCTAAAAATTTTATATAAATTTACTATTTTTCTTTTTTTCTGCCAATAAATTTATATGATATATCGTTAATTGATATAAAACTGAACTTATTTACCACAAAATATTTATAATTAACTTTAAGATGATACTAATATTACAACAATAAATTTTCTCAAACAAAAACTGGGTGGTTCTTCTACTGTGACGAATTCATTACGTGGATAAAGACTGACGTGACATTAGTCAAAAAGTAAGGCATCTAAACAAAACATTTTTTTTTTCATAATAAGTTTCTTATTAAAATAAGTTTTCTTATTAAAACAAATTAAACAAAGGAGCGTATTCAATTGTTCTTGTAGTAAACTGTGTAGTGTAATAAGTGTTAAAAATTCATATTTACAATGCTACTATATTTACTCACTCTGACTTTTATATTTATCACAATAGGAACTCTTCTACTTATTAAAAATAATCGAAATTATTGGACACAAAAAGGATTAATTCCTCATATCAAATCAATATCATTATTTGGAAATGTGTTTCCAGTTTTCGTTAGTCGAAGTATGTCAATGATTGAATTCATTACTCAAGTGTATAAAAAATTTCCCGATGCAAAATACACAGGTATACTACAATTTCAAACTCCAGTAATAGTTTTGCGTGATCCCGATTTAATTAGAGATATTTGTATAAGAAATTTCGATCATTTTGAAGATCATGAATCGTTTGTTTCTAATGATGTAGATCCTCTACTTGCAAAAAATCTATTTTTTCTACGAGGTAAACGTTGGCGAGAAATGCGTCATTTTCTCTCACCATCATTTACAAGAAATAAAATGAATTTCTTATTTGAATTAGTGTCAAAGTGTTCTGAAAATTTTATTAAATACTTTTTGGACAATTTGGAAGAGATAAATTCTGTTGAAATGAAGGACATTTTTACACGATATACAAATGATGTAATAGCAACAGCTGCTTTTGGAATCACAGTCAATTCATTAAAAGATCGAAACAATGAATTTTATTTAAAAGGAAAACAAGTCACTGATTTTAGTAGTATTCGTCGAGGTTTAAAAATTTTTGCTTTACGATTTTTTAAACCAATTATGAAATTACTAAATGAGTCTTTATTGCCACGTTCATGTATTAATTTTTTTCAGAAAATTATTCAAGAAACAGTGAAAATAAGAGATGAGAAAAATATTATCCGTCCTGATATGATACATCTTTTAATGGAAGCTAGCCGTAATGAGAAAGGTGTTGAAGTAACAACTGATGATATTGTTGCACAAAGTTTAATATTTTTCGCAGCTGGTTTCTCAACAATAGCAACAGTTATGAGTTTTGCAGTTCACGAACTTGCTGTTAATTCTGAAATACAAGAAAAGCTACGCCAAGAAGTTGACTACTTTACAAAACAGGAGGGGAAAATTTCATATGACACTCTTTCTAAAATGAAATATATGGACATGGTAATTTCAGAAACACTAAGAAAATATCCAGCAAATGCAATTATGAATAGAATGTGTGTGAAAAAGTACACTTTACCAAAATCAACACCAGACAGCAACGAGTACACAATAGAGCCAAATTCTTTAATATGGTTACCCATCTATGCACTTCATCATGATGAAAATAATTTTCCAAATCCAGAAAAATTCGATCCTGAGAGATTCAACGACGACAACAAGAAAAATATCAATCCTCATTCTTATATTCCATTTGGTGTTGGACCAAGAAAATGCATTGGAAATAGATTTGCTTTAATGGAGATAAAAATTTTGATTGTCTATTTGCTACAAAATTTTGTTATTGAAAGAGAAGAACGAACAAAACATCCTATAATATTTGAAAAAAGTTTTCTTGTTGTAGCTGACGGTGAATTATGGGTGAAATTTCGAAAAAGAAACCAAGATATAATAGAATAAATTTATTTATCTAATGCTTTGATTAATTAATTGTGTATAAATCTTATTAAGTAATTTTAATGAAAGAATAAAAAATTTTAATTGTACTTTGTAAATAAAAATAATCACGAAAGAAATATTTGTCAGGGGTCATCCACATATCGCATGATATCTTTAGGGGTGGGAGGAAAACTATCATGGTCCATGGAAATTTAATTTTTTAACAATAGAAAAAATATCACGCAGGGGGAAAGGGGTTCAAAATACTTAAAATATGTATCACGTGATATGTGAACGGCTCCTTGTATTATTTAATATTTTGTAAATAAAGAATTATAATTAATAACTTCACACTCCTTGGATCGACTTTAAGGCGCAAAAAAAGTAGTTTTAGTCGATTTTTTTTAATTTTAATTAAATCAATAAATATTTTACTTTAAATAACTAATGTTATTAGATATTAAATTCATTTTATTAATAAAAAATTATTATTATTAAAAATTAAAAAAATAATTCTGTAAGAATTTGTATTATCGAGAAAATTTATTTTTAATATTTCAAAATTAAGTTTCAGTTAAATATAAATTTCTATTATTAAATTAAAATTCTGATATATAGAGAATTTGTCCCAAAATCATGATTAGCATATTGAAAATTGAAAAATTTGTAAAAATTCTTATTGAAATTTATTTAAATGAATCTATACTGATAATAGATTAACTCTCGAAGTCAACTCCTCATTTGGAATCTAGAGCTCGCGAGTAATCAAGTCGAGAATTGCTGTAATTTACATCTAGTATTATAGGAGCAGATCGAATTTCTGATGGGAATTCAACACAAGAGTCTAGTGTTGGGATCCTCTACAATAGAGGTTGGATGTTAAACAAGATGCTCTTATCAGAAATTGTCTCGTTTCCTGGCGGTGCTAATGGAGCGATCCCTTACTCCTACGCGCGCGCGCGATGTTTCAGATATCATCTCGTTTATACACAGCGAGAGTAAGTAGATTGCATAATATAAAGGGGAAATATAGAGAGACACACGTGAAGAAAACTTGAAATGAAAGAGAAACATATAGAGATGACCAGATAGAGTTGAAAATCAGACGAGACAAACAGCCTCCGGAATGAGGGAAAATATTCAAGTTGAAAATGCCACACAACAAAATGAAACCAACATCATATACACCAACCCGAGTTAGGATAAACTCGTTTCTGCCCTGGGCAAATATTAAAATTTCATTTCCCATTCTCCCCGTTGAAAAACAAGGTTCACTTCATTAAAAGGCAAAATCAGCCACGATCATTATTCCGGGAGCTAATCTTTTTTCATTTTCAACGAATAATTAAATTGCAGACACATGTACACAAAAGTGACATATATATTTTATTTAATTCGACATTTTTAATGAATGTAGATTGATATGATAATTTTTTAACTGAATGTAGAAAAATTTATTACATAAAATTTGTGATTTAATTAATGGAAATGATTGAAAAGCAAAACAATGGATATAATAAAAATTAAAAAAATTTCCTTTTTGTAATTCGAAAGGAAATAGGTTGAAAAAAAATTTAATTAAAAATTTTACTAACTATATGTTCCTATTTTATTTGATTCAATAAATTTTCGCCTCAATTTAATTCTAGTTTTACGATTTCTTTTAAGTAATCCACAATAGTAAAAATATATTAATCCATAAATAACGAAAGTAATTTGAAATTTTCTTGTGTAAAAGTGTTTTCTTTACCGTAAAGCACACGAATGTTTCGAAAATAGTTACTAATCTGAAAAGCTCTAGGATGATTCTAAATCTTGTGGTTGAGCCTTACTAATCTTGTAACAACTGGGGTATATTTTCATTGGTCGGCAACCTTTCAACGCGTGTCTGATGAGTTATGAAAAGCGTAACTTTTCGTGAACGACCCTCGAAAAGGCGAACGACGACGACAACCGTTACAACAACGACGACGACGACGACGACGAGAGGGGTGGAATTTTAGATGATTATCAAATTTGCAATTTATCGTAAATCAAGAAGAGGAGACGTGCACATCTTTCGAGTGCCTCCTAAATACAAGATATAATGCCTCACGTCAAGTGGAAAAGGGATTTTCCTAACGAGCTTGTTTAGTGAGAATATGTGTGTGCATAATATTGCGTTGCAATTCATAAGTTTTAAAGGAGTTTTAACTGTTAAGAAGAGAGTAACTCTCTCTACAAGAAAGTTTTCTCCTTATTTCGCGGAATCTGGAAGGATCGTAAAGTTTCAAGTCCTATAATATAAACCACAGGGAATTCAACGAAGGAAGATGAATTGAAGAAAATTTCAAATTAACTTAAAATTTTCAAATTTTGATACAATGCTTATATATATAACCTACCAACTGTAATATAGAGTTACGTTTTTATAAATAAAATATTAAATGTCCATTTTTTACTTATTACTTGTTCGAAAATTATAAATACATTTTTAATAATTGTAATATTAAATTTAAAAATATTTATTTCTAGAAAAATATATACCTACATGAAAATATTTATTTGACTTAAATCATCGTTTATTTGATTACTATCAAATAAATATTTATTTGAATTAAATAATTATAAACCAATTAAATAGTACTTGTTTCAAATAAAGAAATTATTGGTTTAGATAGTTTATTTAATTCAATATTATTTGACTTCAAAAATTATTTGGCTTGAGTAAATATTTTTTTGATAATAGTCAAGTAACCGATTATTTGAATCAAATCATTTCTTTCAGTGTAATAATTGTCCGGTTTTAAATTAATCATTTATTTTATCACACGAAAAATTCATCATAATTTTTTGACATATTTTTGATAATTTTAAGGTAACAATAACTGAAAACCGAAATCAGATTGAAATTGTTATTTTACAAATGAAAAATTTTTTTAATTAAGATATTAATTCACAAATAAACATGATTTCAGACCGAGAAAACTGAAAAATATTATTTTAATGTCAAAAATGTTTGATTGATTGAGTTATGATTAATAATTATAATAAGATATAGATTTAATCTAGCCGTCTGGGACAAATTTAGCTAATCACTGTGATAATAATAAAAAAAACATAATTAATAATTATCTCAATTAAAAGTATTTAATTTTCAAAGTTGGAATAGCTTAAAAAAATTAATTAATTTGTATTAATAATATATTACTAATAGATATATTATTATTAATAGTAATAAATTAATTGATTAAAAAAAAGTTTCCAATGCATCAATTTTTTTAAAAAGATAATTTTTTTTAAATTCTATTATTTATTGCAAACGTTTGCAATAAAAAAAATTCCCAAAAAATCTGAATTAGTAAAGAACTAATAAGAATTAATGACTTGTTTCATATCAAATTAAGTATTTTCAAATCATTTATATTTAGAGAGTGAAATGATGAAATAATAATGTGCAAATTTAATATTAACACGTACAAGATGATGAAATAAACAAAGTAAATTCAGTTCAAGATAAAATAATCATTATCTTTTACTCGACAATATAAAATAAAATAACTCGCAATGAAAATATTCAGTTTAATCGGTCTCGTTATTTTCACTGCACGACATTCCGCAAAATGGAGTCTATAACTTTGTTGTTAATTTTAATTACCCTATTTTTGGGTGCAATTATCGGTGCTCTAATTCTCTATCGTCAAACAAATTTTTGGCAACAAAAGGGAATTCCTTATCTAAAACCATTAATACCTGTATTAGGAAGTATGTCAATTATTCTATTTCGTCGCTCGTCTTTTTATGATGGTTTAAATTTTTTATATAACAAATTTCCAAACGCGAAATATTATGGTATGATGATTTTACATACTCCTTTGCTTTTGGTTCGTGATCCCGATTTAATCAAGGAAATATGTGTAAAAAATTTCGAGAATTTTGTCGATCGTCGTAGTTTTATGACTGAAGAAATGGATCCGGTTTATGGAAAAAATGTATTTTCATTGAAAGGCGATCGATGGAAGAAAATGAGAAACACTCTGAGTCCAGCATATACAGCGGCTAAAATGAAACTCATGTTTGAATTAGTTGAAAAATGTGCTCGCGATTTTGTTCAATATTTCATTGATCATTCAAATGAAGCAAAATCTATTGAATTGTCAGATGCATTTACCAGATATTGTAATGATGTGATAGCCACTGCAGCATTTGGAATTAGTGTTAATTCTTTAAAGGATCGAGAAAATGAATTTTACGAAAGGGGGAAAAAGTCCTTTAACTTGGGTAGTTCTAAACGTTTTATTAAAATTATAGCTTTTCGACTTTTTCCAAAATTGATGCATCTATTGGGAATAACATTTCTTGCCAAGAAGTCTGATCGTTTTTTCAAAAAAATCATTACGGAAACAGTTATCACGAGGGATGAGAAAAATATTATTCGACCCGATATGATACACTTGTTAATGGAGGCTAGAAATAAAGATGATAATGATTTGTCTATGGATGACATTATAGCACAGGGATTTTTATTTTTTTTGGCAGGATTTGATTCTTCATCGGGTCTAATGAAATTTATGGCTCATGAATTGGCAATGAATCCAGAAATTCAAGACAGATTGAGAATCGAAGTTGACAGTCTTCTTAAGGAAAATGAGAATATTGACGATTTTTATGGGAGGCTTTCTGAATTGAAATATATGGATATGGTACTTTCTGAAACATTACGGAAGTATCCGCCTAATCCACTGTTGGACAGATTGTGTGTGAAAGAATACAATTTTCCAAAAGCTACGCCGGACAGTAAAGAATACACAGTAAAACCGAAAAATGCCATTTGGATACCAATTTATGGATTGCATCATGATCCAAAATATTTTCCAAATCCAGAAAAATTTGATCCTGAAAGATTTAGTGATGAGAACAAGGACAAAATTCATCCATATGCCTATTTGCCATTTGGTCTTGGTCCAAGAAAATGCATCGGGAACAGATTTGCCTTAATGGAGACTAAACTAATTTTTGTTTTTATTCTACTTAATTTCACTTTGGAGCCTACTGAGAAAACTAAATATCCAATTGAGTTTGCAAGAGGTGGTGGTGGACTTAAAGTCAAAGATGGTTTATGGATCGCATTTAAGAAACGAGTGTTTGACCATCAACAAGAAAGTGTTCTTTAAAATGTTTCTCATGAATCGTATGCTAAATATTATTCACCACATAATAAATACTAAGAAAATAATTACTAAATATTAATTACAATTAATATTTACAGACTCTTCGAATTATTTGTTTAAAAAATTCTTTCTAATTTTAATATGACTCTAAATATTAATATATACTATGTCTCAAAAATTATAATCTACGATCATCTACGATTCGATAATTAGAACTAGACTATAAACTATTTTGATAAGAAAATTTCTATTTTAGACATAGCTTAAAGACTGATATATTATATCTTAATGCTAAACACATTTATAACATTCAACAATTTGACTTATTTCTAATTTTAGAATTTCATTTTTACAGATATAAAATATTTTTATCTGGTAAATTTGTAATCGATTTCATTAATTTAAAATAATTCTACTTCCAGTTGAAAATGGACAAGTTTTATTGAATTTTAAATAGCAAAAATTTCTTGAAACTCAAACACTGGAAAAAACATTTATTTGATTCAAATAATCGATTACTTGACTATTATCAAATAAATATTTATTGGAACCAATAATTTCTGTATTTGAAACAAATACAATTTAATTGACTCAAATAATAATTATTTGATGTAAATAAATATTTATTTAATAATAGTCGATTAGAATCAAATACATTTTTTTTCAGTGCAGCTATTAAAAATTCATTAAAAATGAAAAATTTAAACATCATAAAAATGTTATAAGTGTATAAGTACCTGTATATTATTAATTACTAAATAAAAACTAATGTAAATGATCTAATTAATGTTAATAAATAAAAATAAATAAAAATTGTTTCTTATATTATTTCAAACACCCCAAATCTCTTTTTTACATTAGATAATATTAATTTTGATTTTTTGAACAATATTTTTTAACCAAAAAATTAATTAAAATTTTAGTAAAATTTAATTCTATAAAAAAAATTCAATTAACCCCTTAACTGCTGATGACGACAATTTTGTGCGTCAATTCTTCGTCATCGTAGTTAAGGGGTTAAGTATATTATTTGCTAAATAAAATTTTTGCTAAATAGAAAATTCTGTAAAATGAAAAATTTTAACGAAGATTTGTGTAAACTAAGAAATTTGCAGTATAAAAATTTGCTAAAATAAAAATTCTTTCAAATGAAAATTTGTTGAAATCGCAAAATATAATTTCCAAAATAGTAAAAAAACTGAATTAATTAAGGAATATTTATGCATTGCACAGAGTAATTAAAAAAAAAACTTTGAATCATGCAACACATACAAATCATTTCTTGCATCTTTTTCCAAATGATTTCATATATATATTTTAAAGCTCATTGTTTCATAAAAAAATGTAATATGCTAATTCAAATAATATGTTAATTTTAATGTTTCAATTTACTAAAAGAAGTAAAAATTTTCCTTTAAAAATCGTAAAATTGCTTTGTCATAAAAATGCTATTTTGCATTTTATATATACTTCAAAGTGCGTACATCAAAATAGAACAGATGCGCAGTTTCTGAAAGTATGTAGCACACGCAAGTATAGATATAGATGCCGCGAGTATTTAATGTATTATATAGATATAGTAACATCACAACTGCAAAAATATACGCAGTGGAACTTTCAGTGTTTGCCAGTCTCGCATCAATTGCTAATATTAACGAACTCGAACATGGAAATGTTAAATTTAGTGATTTTCACTGTTTGTTTGGGTGCGATTGGTGTGCTAGTTTACTTTTATTGGCAAATGAACTTTTGGAAACGAAAAGGAATTCCTCAAATTCAGTGTCTACCAATTATTGGTAGTCATTTTAAACTTATTACTGGAAGAATAGCAATAAGTGATTTTGTCAAATATCTATACAGTTGTCATCAAGATGCAAAATATTTTGGTATGTTTGATTTTAATACACCACTTTTAGTCGTTCGTGATCCTGATCTAATTAAAGAAATTGGTGTAAAGAGCTTTGAACATTTTCTCGATCATAAAAGTTTTCTCGACGAAACAATGGATCCTATTTTTGGTAAAAATGTATTTTCATTAAAAGGCGATCGTTGGAAAGAAATGAGAAATACACTGAGTCCATCATTCACAGCAGCAAAAATGAAATTTATATTTGAATTGATTGATAAATGCGCGAGTGATTTTGTTCAATATTTTCTTGATCATTCTGATGAAACGAAGTCTATTAATACCAAGGACGCGTTCACGAGATACACGAATGATGTAATAGCCACTGCCGCTTTTGGAATCACAGTCAATTCCATGCAAGACAAAGAGAACGAGTTTTATGTGCATGGAGCGGATGCATCGTCATTCAGGGGTTTTTGGCGATTCGCAAAATTCATAATGTTTCGTATGTTTCCGAGTTTTTTACGATTAATTGGCGAACCTTTTGTGTCTCGATCGTCGGCACGATTTTTCAAGGCTGTGATACGTGAGACATTGAATGAAAGAGAAAAAAATAAGATCATTCGACCCGATATGATTCATTTGCTTATGGAGGCAAAAGAAAAGGAGGATGGTATTAATTTGTCTGTTGATGATATTGTTGCACAAAGTTTTATTTTCTTTTTGGCCGGTTTTGAGACCTCATCAACACTAATGAGTTTTCTCACACACGAACTGGTAATGAATCCGGAGATTCAAGAAAAATTACGTAACGAGGTGGATATGATTATTGAAAGAGACAATAGTAAAATCACATATGAAACACTTTCTAAAATGAAATATCTTGATATGGTTGTTTCTGAGTGTCTTCGAAAATATCCACCGTCTCCGGTTGTTGATAGAGTGTGCGTGAAAACGTACACTTTACCAAAACCCACGCCGGATAGTAATGAATATATCGTAGAACCGAATACATCAATTTGGTTCCCAGTAAATGGAATACATCACGATCCAAAATATTATCCAGATCCAGAAAAATTTGACCCGGAAAGATTTAGTGATGAGAATAAAGATAATATTCATCCCTATGCCTATTTGCCTTTTGGACTTGGTCCACGAAAATGTATTGGTAATCGATTTGCTCTAATGGAAACGAAATTACTCATTGTTTACATAATGAAACATTTCATTTTGGAACGTACTGAAAAAACGCAACATCCACTTAAATTTGAAATCAGCGTCACTATTGGAGTTCAAGGTGGTACATGGGCAAAATTTGTCAAAAGAACATCAAAAGTATCATAATTCGTATGCAATTAACATTAATAGAATATTTTTAACCCTTTAAATAATTTTTTTCAGACAACATGAACAATTTATATGAACATTTAATTTTGTATATTTAATAGAAAATATTTTGTTAATTTTATACAAAGAATAAAGTTGTTTTGTGATATTATATATAGTTGATAATAATATAATTTACTGATAATAATAATTTATTTATATAAATCAATTTTAAATATTATTTTAACTTATATTTAATACCCTTTCAATAAAAAATATTTATTAATTGCACTTTAGGTATTGCTTTGATAATTACCTATCCATATAACTTGTCATTGTCATAAAAATAACCTATTTTTCCATATTTTTTACATTCAGAAAAATTACATACATTGCAAAAAATCCATATTCACTGAAAAATTAACTCAAGTCTAAATATATATTGCATCACACGCGAAAGTACATCGATAGAACAGACTCGACAGTGGAAGCAATTACAGAAAATGCAATAGTAGACTTGAAAACACTATAGCAGAAGCGAATAAAAATTAGTCTTCAACCTGACTCTGTCGTTAACAGACGCGCATGAGATGGAGTCGTTGAATTTACTACTTTGGACCCTTATTGTTGGGGCCATTGGTGTCATAATATTTCTCTATTATAAAGCACATTTTTGGAATGGAAAAAAAACCCCTCACCTTAAACCTGTTATGCTATTTGGCAATACTACACCAATTTTTTTTCAAACCAAATTTATTGGTCAGTTTATCATTGATCTCTATAATAGTTTTCCCGAAGCTAAATACTTCGGAATGATGGACATTCATAAACCAGTAGCTGTTATTCGAGATCCCGATTTAATCAAGGAACTTTGTGTGAAAAATTTTGAAAATTTTCTCGATCATCAATCGTTTATTGACGAAACAATGGATCCTATTTTTGGGAAAAATGTATTTTCCCTAAAAGGTGAGCGTTGGAGGGAAATAAGAAATACACTCAGTCCATCATTCACGGCAACAAAAATGAAATTTATGTTTGAATTAATAGAGAAATGTGCTCAAAATTTTGTTCAATATTATTTAAATCATGAAGAAGAAACGAACTCAATTGAAATCAAGGACGCATTCACGAGATATACCAATGACGTGATTGCCACAGCAGCATTCGGAATAAGTGTCGATTCCTTAAAAGATAAAAATAATGAATTTTATTTACGGGGTAAAGATGCCACGTCATTTGGCAAAGGATTGCGTGCTTTTAAATTTTTACTTTTTCGTACTATTCCACAATTCATGAAATTAATCGGCGAGCCATTCTTGACACGTTCCACGGATCGATTTTTTAAGAGAATTGTTAGTGAAACTGTGAAAGTGCGAGAGGAAAAGAACATCATTAGACCGGATATGATTCATTTACTAATGGAAGCAAGGGACAAGGACAATGGTGTTGAATTAACACCCGATGACATTATTGCACAATGTTTTATTTTCTTTTTAGCAGGATTTGATACGACTTCAACGGCAATGTGTTTTGTTGCTCATGAATTGGCGATGAATCCTGATGTACAAGACAAATTGCGCAATGAGATTGACACTTTTACGGAAAATAGAGAGGATAAAATTACCTATGAAACTCTTTCAAAAATGAAATATCTGGATATGGTTGTTTCGGAAGCATTGAGAAAATATCCACCAGCCCCATCGACAGACAGGGTATGCATTAAAAAATTTACATTACCAAAAGCAACACCAGACAGCGAAGATTATACAGCCCAGCCAAAATCCGTTATTTGGATCCCTATTCAAGGACTTCATCACGATCCGAAATATTTTCCCGATCCTGAGAAATTTGATCCGGAAAGATTTAGTGATGAAAATAAGGATAAAATTCATCCCTATGCATATTTACCATTTGGTGTCGGACCAAGAAAATGCATTGCCAACAGATTTGCATTAATGGAAACAAAATTGTTGTTCGTTTATATTTTACAGAATTTTATATTGGAAAAGAGTGCAAAAACAAAGCATCCAATAGAATTTCAAAAAGGTTTTACGATTGTTGCCAAAGGTGGCTTATGGGTAAAATTCACAAAAAGAAACAAATGAACAATAAAAAAATTACGTCTGTTTTAATAATTACTTTTTTACTCTTTTACTTGTAAAAAAAAAGCAGTTTAACATTGAGATGTTGCTTATTTGATTTACATAAATCTATTTTTTGCATGAATCTAAGAAATCTTGTGAAATCACAAAAAATTATTCACTTTTGTAAATAATGATAAAGAAACAATGACATTTAAAAAAGAATAACACCGATAATATTTTTGCAGAATAAATAAATAATTAAAAGTTTAATCTGCATTGTTTTAATTTGTATAATTTTTGTACCAAAAGTAATGAAACTGAATTCTGTATAAATATAATGCTTATATTTAACATTTTCATTTAAGTTTTATTTTATTAAATATCTACTAATAATAATTTAATTATACGTAAGTCTCTATATTTTTCTAGACTAGTGGAAACAAAGGACACGTCGGATTTGCTTTCAAAAAGAGGAGACGATGCATTCAGGTTAAAAAAAAGAACAGCCTCAAAACCTGTTCTAGAGGGTTTGAAAGGTTAATAAATTTGCTAACAAAGTTTCAATGATTTATTAATTTCTTTTAATAAATTTATTGAATCTTAAAAAATAGATGCTAAAAAATTAAATAAAAATTTTTCTTATAACATTTCTAAACGTTTACAGAAAAAAACGAATTTACAAGGTGTCTTTTTCGACCAGAACGCCTTTGAACGCGAATCGACGTGCCCCTTTTTTCCACTAACCAAACGAAAGAATCTTTGTTGCCTAATAGATATAGTTCATGCGAAATACTACAGTAGGCTTAAAAACGTTAAAAAAGAATCGAAAAGAAAGTAGTCTTCAGACTGACTTGGTCGTTAACTGACGCGTGAGATATGGAGTCGCTAAATTTTGCACTTTGGACCATGCTTGTTGGTTTACTTGGTGTTGTTTTCATTCTCTACTATAAAGTGCATTTTTGGGAAAGAAAAAAAATTCCTCACGTTAAACCTGTTCTAATATTTGGCAATTCTATTCCAATTTTTTTTCAAACGAAATTTATTGGTCAATTTGTCATCGACCTCTACAACAGTTTTCCGGATGCAAGATATTTTGGATTCATGGATATACATACGCCGACAGCAATTATTCGAGATCCTGAATTAATCAAAGAAATTTGTGTAAAAAATTTCGACAATTTCCTCGATCATCAGCGATTTGTCGATGAAACAATGGATCCAATTTTTGGGAAAAATGTATTTTCCCTAAAAGGTGAACGTTGGAGGGAAATAAGAAATACACTGAGTCCTGCATTTACGGCAACGAAAATGAAATTTATGTTCGAATTAATAGAGAAATGTGCTGAAAATTTTGTGCAGTATTATTTGAATAATCCGGAAGAAACAAACCTAATTGAATCCAAGGACGCATTCACGAGATATACCAATGACGTAATTGCCACTGCAGCATTTGGAATAAGTGTTGACTCTCTAAAAGATAGAAATAATGAATTTTATCAACGTGGTAAAGATGCCACGTCATTTGGTAAAGGAATGCGTGCTTTTAAATTTTTACTTTTTCGTACTTGTCCACGATTTATGAAATTCATTGGCGAGCCATTCCTGTCACGTTCTACCGACCGATTTTTTAAGAGTATTGTTCGCGAAGCAGTGAAAGTGCGTGAGGAGAAGAAAATCATTAGACCTGATATGATTCACTTATTAATGGAAGCAAGAGACAAAAACAATGGTGTTGAATTAACAACCGATGACATTATTTCGCAATGTTTTATTTTCTTTTTGGCAGGTTTTGATACAACGTCAACGGCAATGTGTTTTATTGCTCATGAATTAGCAATGAATCCGGAAATACAGGAAAAATTACGCGAGGAGATTGACACATTCACGGAAAATATAGAAGAGAAAATTACCTATGAAACTCTATCAAAAATGAAGTATCTCGATATGGTTATTTCGGAAGCATTAAGAAAATATCCGCCAGCACCATCAACTGACAGATTATGCATTAAAAAATATACTTTACCAAAACCTACCGAAAACAGCGAGGAATATATTGCTGAGCCAAATTCTGTTATTTTGATTCCTATCCAAGGACTTCATCACGATCCAAAATATTATCCCGATCCTGACAAATTTGACCCGGAAAGATTTAGTGATAAAAATAAGGACAAAATTCACCCCTATACTTATTTACCATTTGGTATTGGTCCAAGGAAATGTATTGCGGACAGGTTTGCATTAATGGAAACAAAAATTTTGTTTGTTTATATTTTGCAAAATTTCATTTTGGATAAATGTGCAAAAACAAAGCATCCAATAGAGTTTGAAAATGGTTTCACGATTGTCGCTAAAGGTGGATTATGGTTTAAATTTACAAAAAGAAACAAATGAACGAAAAAAAAATGATGTAATTTTATGGTAACTATTTTTTACTATTATTCTTATTAAAAAATTATCATGTCAAATTGTGTTTATTTCATTTACATGTATCTATTTTTTCCATGAATATTGTAATCAAAAAAAATTTTTTTATTTGAAAATAATTATAGTAATAATTTAATAATTCAATATTTTTCAAGCCAAGACCCAAATTCCAAAAAGTGGTTCCAAAATGGTAAGAAGTTTTTATAAAAGGAAAATTTAGTAAAATATAATTTACAAATACTGCATTTTCAAGTAGGTAAAAAATACAATAATATTTAATGTGTATTTAAATTGTGTTTTTTAAAATAATGTGTTGATAATTAGCTGTTTTTTACGTTAACAAAAATTATACACTTTATAAAAAAAAAATTATATTTACTGAAAAATTAACGTGTGTCCTATATATATTTAATCTTTGTTGCTTAATTGACTCTCTAAAGCACGTCGTTATAGTTCAGTGCAAGCTATATGCGAAATACAACAGTAGACGTGAAAATACTATAGCAGAAGCGAATAAAAATTAGTCTTCAACCTGACTCTCTCGTTAACTGACGCGCACAAGATGGAGTCGCTAAATTTAGCACTTTGGACCCTGATTGTTGGTTCACTTGGTGTTCTATATTTTCTCTACTACAAAGTACATTTTTGGGAAAGAAAAAAAATTCCTCACGTTAAACCTGTTCTAATATTTGGCAATTCTGCTCCTATTTTTTTTCAAACGAAACCTATTAGTCAATTCGTCACTGAACTTTATAATAGTTTTCCAGATGCTAAATATTTCGGAATTATGGATATTCATACACCAACAGCAGTAATTCGTGATCCCGAGTTAATCAAAGAAATTTGTGTAAAAAATTTCGAATATTTTATTGATCATCAGCGATTTGTCGACGAAACAATGGATCCTATTTTTGGGAAAAATGTATTTTTTCTGAAAGGTGAACGATGGCGGGAAATAAGAAATACATTGAGTCCTTCATTTACAGCAACAAAAATGAAATTTATGTTTGAATTAATTGAAAAGTGTGCTGAAAATTTTGTACAACATTATTTGAAACATCCGGAAGAAACAGAATTAATTGACTCCAAGGACGCATTCTCGAGATATTCGAATGACGTGATAGCCACTGCAGCATTCGGTATAAGTGTTGACTCACTAAAAGATCGAGAGAATGATTTTTTTTTACGGGGCAAAGATGCTACATCATTTGGTAAAGGATTGCGTGCTTTAAAATTTTTACTTTTTCGTATTTGTCCACGATTTATGAAATTAATTGGCGAGCCATTTCTGTCACGTGCCACTGATCAATTTTTTAAGAGAATCGTTCGCGAAAATGTGAAAGTAAGAGAGGAGAAGAATATCGTCAGACCAGATATGATTCACTTACTAATGGAGGCAAGGGACAAGGACAATGGTGTTGAGTTAACAACCGATGATATCATTTCACAAAGTTTTATTTTCTTTTTGGCTGGTTTTGACACAACGTCAACGGCAATGTGTTTTGTTGCTCATGAATTGGCAATGAATCCTGAAATTCAGGAAAAATTACGCGAGGAGATTGAAACATTCACGGAAAATGGAGAAGAGAAAATTACCTATGATACTCTAACAAAAATGAAGTATCTCGATATGGTTATTTCGGAAGCATTAAGAAAATATCCGCCAGCACCATCAACTGACAGATTGTGCGTAAAAAATTTTACTTTGACAAAACCTACAGAAGATAGTGAAGAATATACAGCTGAGGTAGATTCCGCGATTATGATTCCTATCCAAGGACTTCATCACGATCCGAAATATTTTCCTGATCCTGAGAAATTTGATCCGGAAAGATTTAGTGATGAAAATAAGGACAAAATTCATCCCTATGCATATTTACCATTTGGTGTCGGACCAAGAAAATGCATTGCAAACAGATTTGCATTAATGGAAACAAAATTGTTGCTTGTTTATATTTTGCAAAATTTTATTTTAGAAAAGAGTTCTAAAACAAAGCATCCGATAGTGATGGATAAGGGTTTTGCTGTTGCTGCAAAAGGTGGTTGGTGGATTAAATTCACGAAAAGAAACCAGTAAAAAAAAAATAAACAACAATATTAAAGAATTACATTTTTTATCACCAGAATACAATTTATCTGAAATTAGCAAAGTTCTGTTATACTCACTACAATAATTGATAAACTTTTAACCTTAAATTTACTTCTTTTGAATAAGCAAATGAATTTTATGAACTTATCAAAAAGAAACAAATTTCTATTTGAATTATTAAAAAAATTTTTTTTTTGTAGAACAAAGTAAATTAATTAAATTGTGTAATTAAATCAAGTATTAAATTTTCATCTGAGTTAAATTATTTTAATTTCTATTGTCCTAATGATGATTAAGCAATTTAACATTGAAATGTCAAAGTGTGTTTATTTAAGATTCGAATTTGCATAAATCTACTTTTTGCATGTATATTAGTAAATCAGAAAAAATTATGTATTCTCATTTGTAAGGAATTATAATGCTAATAAGAAAAAAAAATAAAAGTCATTTAAAAACAAGAAAAAGTCAGATAAAACTCTCGCAAAATATTATGTCGATTCTTTAACGATGTATACATTTAAAAATATTTCAAATTGAATGTTTATTTTTATATAAATAATAAATATGAAATAATATTTATTAGAAAATAATTAGAATTAAATTAAAATTATTAAAAATAATAATCTATGATGTAAAAACTAGTGTAAATTGTTTTATTTTTTAGAAAATAGGCTTGAAAATAATAATTAAACAAGAAGTTTTTAAAATAAAAATAGATTAAATATTTCTTATTTTCATTATAATGAGTCAACGATAAAAAAAAGTAGTGTATATGATTAGAATAATTTATATAATTATTAATAAAATTATTTTTAAAAATGTATGTTTTGTCAAAAAGATGCACCTTTAAAAAATTCATTTTTCCTATCCAAATCATTTTAATTTCAACCAAATTAATTGCTTTTGATAATAAAATTTTGAGGATGAAATGTCTAACCAAAAAATTTCATTAATAAAACTAAATGTTTGATTAAGACAACTAAATAAATTTCCTTCAATGAAACGATTTTAAAGACAGCACGAAATATTTTTCATAAATATAACAGTTTTTGAAATCTAAAGCAGCAAAGAAAATTCTAATGTAATAACATAATAATTGAATTTATATTTAATAGATTTTGATATCGAATTTGTGAATCAATCTCTTATCATTATTATTGGAGGACAAATTCACATTTATTACGCTTCAATTTTATTATTTTAAGAGCAAAATTCAAGATACAGTGTCATTGCGTCATTTTATTCATGAACGACGTATTACATATATTAGGTTGTAAATGACCACGTGATTAAGTATTTATTTGCCTGTAATGTAGAGAATACGCTAGTAGTCGACACGCTCTGACGGAGTGAGTCGAGGTGAATTACATCTCTTAGATAATCTCACCATGATTTCACTGTCACTATTACTATTTACCTTCATAGTCGGTGTTATTGGTGTTTTAACACTGTCTTTTTATCGTCAATTAAATATTTGGCGGGTAAATGGAAAAATACCCCATTTAAAACCTATACCAATTTTGGGAAATACATTTGCTCCATTTTTCTTAAAGAAAAAATCCATAACCGATTGGCTTAGAGAAGCGTACAATAGTTTTCCAAATGCAAAATACTTTGGAATGGTTGATTTTGGCCTACCAGTGATTTTTCTTCGCGATACCGAATTAATTAAGGATGTGTGTGTCAAATTATTCGATCATTTTCCCGATCATAATAATATAATTGACGAGAAAGTTGATCCTATTTGGGGTAAAAATGTATTTGCTTTGAGAGGTGATAGATGGAGGGAAATACGAAATACATTAAGTCCTTCATTCACTGGGAGTAAAATGAAATTTATGTTTGAATTGGTTGATAAGTGCGCGGAAAATTTTGTCAATTATTATTTAGATCATCCGGAAGATGGAAAAATGGTCGAGATGAAAGAGGCATTCACAAGATATACCAATGATGTAATTGCTACAAGTGCTTTTGGAATTAGTGTCGATTCAATGAAATATAAGGATAACGAATTTTATCAACGAGGTAAAGATGCAATGAATTTCATGGGATTCTTTCGTTTAATAAAATTCTTTTTCTTCCGATTTTGCCCAAGTGTTATGCTTTTTATTCGTGAACCATTTTTGTCACGTGGTACAAATCGATTTTTTAAATCACTTGTTAATGACACAGTGGAAACAAGAAAGGCAAAAAATATTATTAGACCGGATATGATCCATTTGTTAATAGAGGCAAGTAAAAATGATAAGGGTGTTGAAATTACAATTGACGATATAATAGCACAAAGTTTTATATTTTTCCTCGCTGGTTTTTCGACATCGGCTACTTTAATGACATTTGTGGCACATGAACTGTCTGTAAATCAAGATGTGCAGGAAAAGTTACGTGAGGAGGTTGATAGTTTCACGAATCACGAAGGTATTTCATATGATTCCTTATCGAAAATGAAGTATTTAGATATGGTAATATCTGAAGCATTGAGAAAGTATCCTCCTGCTGGAGTGGTGGATCGATTGTGTGTTGAGAAATATACATTCCCTAAACCAACACCAGACAGCGATGAATATACCATTCAACCAAATTCTCTTGTATGGTTACCAATATTTGCACTACAAAATGATGAAAGATATTTTCCTAATCCAGAAAAATTTGATCCTGAAAGATTCAGCGATGAGAATAAGGATAAAATTAATCCTTATGCTTATATTCCGTTTGGACTGGGACCAAGAAAATGTATCGGCAACAGATTTGCTTTAATGGAGGTAAAACTTCTGTTTGTTCATTTGTTGCAACATTTTGTTTTTGAAACGACTGAAAAAACTAGACACCCAGTAGTGTTTGAGAAAGGATTTAATGTTGCTGCTGATGGAGATTTTTTTGTGAAACTACGAAAAAGAACAACTTAAATCAAAATAAATGTCAAAAATCTAATAAGATTTAAAGTATAGAAAAATAGAAGGTTTTAGAAATCTTTTAATTTCACAGAAGAGAATCACTGGTAATAGCTATAACAAAGTAGATATAATGGATTATAAATATATCAGGGAATGTTTAAACTTCTTAATACTTAAAGCAATCAAGTAATTCTTTGATTACTTTTGCGTATTTGACATGAATTTATAACTTAAATTCTTATAATATTTTATGAGCCAAAAGTTCTGAACGTTCAAATGAACAAAATATTTTTTTCATTCTATAAATTATTAAAAATTATAATGTCAATGTAAAATAAAACAGTAAATTAAACAAATATTAAATTAATAACTTATTTTTAGATATTTAAAACAATATTTTGTAATAAAATTCGTACTTCAAGAAGTTTCAAAAAAAATTTTGTTTATTTGAACGTTCAAAACTTTTGGCTCATAATACTTTTAAACTTTCTACAATTTTGTATTTTCTACTTTTTTTAATAGTATTCATAATTTTTAAATTATGGTTGGACGAAAAATTGTAAACTTTTTTGTAATAATTATGTATACCTAATGGAGAAATAAATATATTATCTATTTAATCTAATACTAATAATTTATCTAAAAAGTGACTGACTTTTTGCTATTAAAATTGATTATTTATTTTAATTAAATCGGATTTTATTTACCAATACATAACAAGTGTGAAATTAAATGTATAAAATTTGCTTTTTTTAAAATATTTTCGTAAATAAACAATTACTAAAGGCTAAAGGTTAACTTAATAAAATAATTCTCAAACTTCACCAGTAAAAAGAAATTTTAAAAATCCAACATCAAACTTTTATCTTTCAAAGAAAAACGTATATTCAGTTTATCAAAATTTGAACTTTAATCAGTACTAAATAAAAAAAAATACAATTAATAAAAACATATTATATGATTTTAAATATAGCGTTAAAGACATTTTTAAAAATCATTTCTTTTTCAAACTTGATATTTTATTATGTGGGTTTATGATGCAATAAGCGCAGACACTATAGCAATTTAACCTCCGCGAATGCTGCACATTGTCAGTAGTAAAACAACTTCGTAGAAAGAAAGATCAACAAATTTAATACGTAAAACTTTTTAAAATACGTGATTGAACTATAAATTTCTTTAATTTAGTCACAATTTAAACTAATCGTGACTAAGTGTAATATAATATTACATAAAAACTCTGACTTGAAAAAAAAGTTTACTTATTTATAATGCTAACAGTGTGTTTATCGCTCTTGTGTATTATAGTCAGTGTAGTTGGAATTTTAATTTTACGCTCACATCGACGTTATCAAAATTATTGGAGGAAAAAAGGATTTACTCCTTACATCAAATCTGTACCATTTTTCGGAAATTTTTATTCTATGACGTTTAAAAAATTATCAATATCTGAATATATCACAAAAGTGTATAACCATTTTCCAGAAGCAAAATATACCGGTATACTACAATTTAACATACCAACATTAGTTTTAAGAGATCCCGAATTAATAAAAGATGTTTGTATAAAAAATTTCGATAATTTTACCGATCATCGAAGTTTTGTTCCGGAAGATGCGGATCCTTTGTTTGGAAGAATGGTATTCTTTTTAAAGGGTACAAAATGGAGGGAAATGCGTCAAACTTTAACACCATCATTCACAGGAAGTAAAATGAAATTAATGTTTGAATTAATATCAAAATGTTCGCGAGATTTTGTTCAATACTTTCTTGATCATCCAGAAGAGGCAAATTCAGTTGAAATGAAGGACACATTCACCCGTTATGCTACTGATGTAATCGCGACAACAGCTTTCGGAATCACAGTCAATTCATTAAAAGATCGTAATAATGAATTTTATTTAAGAGGAAAAGAGGCTGTTGATTTTAATAGTATTAAACGTCTTCTTAAGATAATTGCCCTAGGAACATTCACAAAATTCATGAAATTCATAGGTGAACCAATTATGTCACGTTCAACAACTCGATTTTTCAGAACAATTATCGAAGAAACAATAAAAATAAGAAAAGAGAAAAATATTGTTCGTCCCGACATGATACATCTTTTAATGACAGCTAACGATAATGAGAAAGGAGTGAAGGTATCAATTGAAGATATTGCAGCGCAAGGACTTATCTTTTTTCTTGCTGGTTTTTCCACATCAGCAACAGCCATGGGTTTTGTTATTCACGAACTTGCCGTCAATCCAGAAATACAGGAAAAATTACGAGAGGAAATCGATCATTTAACGGAACAAGAAGGAGAAATTTCCTATGACACACTATTCAAGATGAAATATTTAGATATGATTATTTCTGAGACTCTCAGAAAATATCCACCAAATGGAATGATGGATCGAGTATGTGTAAAATCGTTTACATTACCAAAATCTACACCCGATAGTAAAGAATTTGAAACTGATTTAGAAACTGTAATATGGTTACCAATATATGCACTTCATCATGATCCACAATATTTTCCCGATCCAGAAAAATTTGATCCTGAGAGATTTAATGATGAAAATAAGGATAAAATAAATCCTTATGCTTATATTCCATTTGGAATTGGTCCGAGAAAATGTATTGGAGATCGATTTGCATTAATGGAGATTAAAATTTTGATTGTACATTTATTGCAAAATTTTGTTTTAGAAAGAGAAGAACGAACGAAACATCCTATTGAATTTGAAAAAAGTTTTCTTATTATTCCTAATGGTGATATGTGGGTGAAATTTAAGAAGAGAAACAATAATGCAAAATAATACCTTATATACAAAAAAAATTAGCATAAGGAATTAATGTTTATAATTTATTAAAAAAAAAAATGTTAATGAAGTGTCTATTTTTTATTATTCAAAATGACTGGTGAAAACGATCTTAAAATTTTCCTTACTTTTTCCTTAGTACCTAACATTTCCTGTCTTTTACTTGGCTTTTCATTATTAATTAATAATTAATTTAAAATTAATTTTATCTAATTAAATTAGATTCTTTTAGTATTTTAAATTAAGGAAATCGACTCATGAATTGTCTAAACCAGATAAGGAGTTAAATAAAAAAAGACTCACCGATCGATGAATCTCACGTAGAAGCAATAGTTGCAATCGACACTTCGGGCAGTAATGCTGAAACCACTTTCTTCGTTCTTAACTTCTATTCTTCAGATTGTTATCAGGAAATGAACTGAAAAAAAATAAATAAAAATTTAAACTATAAAATTAATTATTTTCTAAAGTAGCATATATTTGCAATGTCCTTTATTTATTGCGAGTTAAAAATAAAATCAAACGCCTTTATTTTATCTTTTAAATAAAAAAAATAAAATGTTATGAAAAAACTTATTTTTAACCTTAGTTCCATTTATTTAATTATTTTGAACTTTAATCGGAAACAGATAAAAAAAAGTACGGTAAGTGATAAAAATATATTATACATGATTGACATTAATAACACTTCTAAAATCGATTTGTCTTTGAGAATTTTATCTTTGTGTATGTGAGTATGTTTGTGGATGACGTAAGACGTAATAAGCAGACACTATACCATTTTAACTTCCTCGTGCGCTGCACACTGTCAGTAGTAAAGCAACATTGTATAAATGAAGATCAACAAATTTAGCACATACAATTTTTAAAAATTGTAACGATGTAAATCGTTACTTATATTGGTTGGTATCTGTCAGCGTTTTCGCCCCTCTTGATCTATCAGCTGTTTAGTTTTTCGTGTCAACGTGCCATGAACATGTGTTCTGGCAGTTTTTCTGCGTGAGGATCTGCGCATGTTTGTGCCGCCTAAAGGCCCGATTGTCAGCGTCGTTATCTAGGTTTTCCGGGGAGCTGCCGCCAAATCGTCCAGGGAGAAGGATGGAGCGATAGGGGTGACGAGGAAAAGGGATAGCGCGCCCCTCTTAACAGATTAGGAGATCTAGGGGAAGTTGGCGTCAATAGTCAGTCGATTTTGGATCGTATTGAAAGGAAGACCCTTTCGCGGGACTCATAATTTATAATCGCGTTATACGCTTAATTATTCAATAAATAGTTGTATGTGTGAAATAAATCTTTATTCGTTGTTAACTAAATGTGTGTTATTTGTCGTTACAATATTTTCGATTTATCAGCGTCAGTCAACGTCGTCTTAGTGTCGGCATTTCGACATTGCTGAGTTCTTTTATGGTTCATCTTGTTCTGGGATCATCAATGCACCGATGGTTCGACTTGGTTGGAATCTCCCTTTGGTATTTTTCAGAGGAATTTAAGATAAGTATTTAGCGTTCGATTAATGTGGACGGTGCAAGCGGGTTTCCCATAACGCGCGAAAGTCCACCATTATAATTGGCATCCCTTGTGGGGAGGCTTTTGACCAAGCATAAAAAACAAGATCATTTTTGTGTTGTGTTTTGTCATCGAGGAGAAAATTCCTGTTTTGTCAGCGTGTGTGACGGTTAAAAATTTCGCGCGGTCGTGTGCCGGTAATGGTGTCGCGAGGCATAATTTCAGTGTACATTGATTATTGGAAATAATCAATCAATTTCTCGAACTAAAAAAAAAGGAAGTAAAAATTAACTGTAATATTTAATATAATTTTCATATTGTTCGTGGAGCATCAGTGAATTTTTTTTATGTGTGCCGGTGAATTTCGGCGTCCTTTTAAAAGTTAATTCTCAACATGTGCTCGGATATGACGTCATGCGTATGACGTTGCGCGAACAGTAGTCAGCTGGGAGTTTAAAGTCAGCGTGAAAGAAAAAGATTTTTAAATATTGTCTGTCAGATAATTTTCTATTTTCGAGGGTAAATTTATTGAGAAGTGAAAGTGTTCGAGAATATAATTTGAAATAAATGTCAAGTTGCGAGTATTTTTTATGAGTTTTCTATCGTTGAATTGAATTTGGATTTATTTTATTATTTATTATTTTACCGAGTGTGATTAGAGCGAGTATTAGAATTTATATCCTCGACTTATAACACACTCTGTCAGTGAAATGAATTGAGTAGTGTAGCGCCATATATGAGTTCTTAGAATTCTCAGCGTTTTCCTTTTGAACTACGTGAAGATCCTTTTCAGAGTTAATCGACCAGTGTGTTTAAATTTTTTCTATTATTTCAGTGAGTGTGGATCTGGATTTTAAGAAAGAATTTGTCAGCGTCAAATTAATTTTTTTTTTTTCTCGTTCGCGAATTTACAAACCTTGTCAGGTGACAAGTGAGATTATTCTCAATTCTCGAAGAGATTATTTATTGAGAGAGTTTCATTTTTGAGAAAAGTGAAATTAAGCGATTATAATTGCCGCGTGATTTAGTGTGAGTCAGCGTTCGGTGAATTAATTCGTTTTAAGGTGTTAATTTTTCTTTCTTTCTCTAATAATAATAAAGAAAGAAAAAAGAAAATTATTTATTTAATTTTTTTATTAGTTTGACACTTGTTCGCGACGGACAAAACTTTTTTTTGTGTCGTGAACGTTTGGAAAATGTTTTATTGGACGTGATTTAGTGTTGCGGGTGCAACATTTATCAGAGACTATTCTTTTTTTTTTTATATACGAAAAAAGCGTGTTTCTTGTTAGCGTCCAATTTCATTTGGAATAAATTAATGAATTAATTATTCATTCATTTTGTTTTGGAATTTTATTTTGGGGACTGATTAGAGAATTCTTTTTTATCAATGAAAAATCTTTTCTCTCTTACTCTTATTATATTTTGTGTATTCGGTAAATCGGTACGAGGAAATCAGCGTAATTCAGTGACAACTCAATTGTTTTTATAAAACGGAAAGAGTTGTATGAGTGCCGCGATTTAGTATCAGGGAATTTTTTTTATTAAGAGTGTTTTCTGTTTTTGTCAGCGTTAGTATTTGATCGGGAAAAGTGGATAATTTTCCGGAATTAGTTTCGTTATCGCGAAGAGTGAAAAATTTGCTTTCATCGACAATGGAGGTATATCAGCGTCACTTCGCGAAACTTTTGGAAAATCCGAATATCAGCACAAATTGGCAATCGATAACGCGTATGCCTATCAGTGACGTCGTGAGAGAACTGATGAGTCATAATGTGAGCACATTAGGTACGGTGCAGGTATTGCGCGAGCGTTTATTGCGTGTCCGGGCAAGACTAGTTTATGGCGAAATAGTTTTTGTTCCGTGGATTAAAAAATTTGATGCTAGCGATTCGGATGAAGTTTTTCTGGTGGAGGCTATGCCGGATCTAAATAGATTACCGGTACCGGAAGTGGATTTGACAACCGATCAGATTGACGCGAATGACGAAGTGGAGGTGAATCAAGGCGATGACGTGGCGAGCTGCGTGGATTATAACACCGGGTTAGATCAGCAGAGACTAACGACTAGTGAGTCAGCGGGTATGACTCCAGCCATAATATCAGCGGCTAATACGGCTGTTAGCAGTGCGGTGTCTAATGTAACGACAGTAGCGCCGACGGTGACAAGTGGAACGTCCGGGACGTCTCCAACAGTAACTTGGGCATTACCGAGCTCTGGTGTGGCTACGCCTAGTTTTGTACCACCTATAGGGAGGTTTAGTCAATTCGACACTCGAATGTGCTATCTCCCCCATAACGGTACGGTGTTTACCCATAATACTAATACCGAGGTTAATTGGGCGCCGCGGCCTCCCGAACAAAATAGTCAGCGTCAGGGACAAGCGTTACGGAACTCAGCGTCGGCTCCGCCTATGCAGGGTACCGATAGTAACCTAGGTTCAGGTACGGTACCTAAAGTTTCACAACCACAAAACTCATTCAGCGAACCTCCCTTAAGTTTCCCAGATCAGTGTCATGATCGCGTGTCCGGTCTGGTCAACGATATTAAAAAGGTTTTAGACCCGCCTGAGAGAAAAGAGTGGGTAAAGAGGGGTAGAAGGGAGGAAGCTAAGTCTTATGGTGGGGGCCATGTCGGAAATACAGAGGCAAATTTTAATTCTCGGGAAAATAGCGGTAATTCAATGCGAGGCCATTATGACTCACTTTTGAACTTGTCTTCGGATGAGTCAGGATCGGAAGACGAATATGGCCCAGACCAGGCCCAATATGGACAAGGACCGGGTACGCGTGAAATCTCAGGTGCGCGCGCAGCGAAGCTTTTAAAGAGCTGGAATTTGAAATTTTCAGCGTCGGATAAAGAAGATCCGGGCGAATTTTTAATTCGCGTGCAGGACTGTAGAGAATGTTATCAAATTTGCGACCAAGAGTTATTAGCGGCAATCCCTAGCGTTTTATTAAATTCAGCGAGTCGTTGGTATCATGTCACCAGAAGAGAAATTAGATCGTGGCGAGTTTTCAAAAAGTTATTCTTAAGAGAATTCAGCGGTGCTATCGACGAAGAGGATTTGTGGGAAGAATTAAAAGCGCGCACTCAGGCTAAAGGAGAGCGAATTTCTTCTTATTTAACCAGTCTTCGTTTAATTTCGCAACAATTTAAGCATCCGATTTCAGCGTCTAAAATGTTGAAGATCGTGTTTCGAGGGTTGACACCGGAGTACCGCCGATTCGTAGCAACTTATGATAACATTTCGCTTAGCGAATTGGAAAAAATTTTGCATCGCTACGAACGTGTTCGTGACATAGATAAGCATTATGCCCCACCTCCACCTAAAGATAAAATGAGAGTACCTTCAGCAGCTCCTTCTGGAGCAAATAAGGCGCATAAAATAGACGCGTTATTAGATACGTCAGCGTCTGAGTCCGAAGAGGAAAGTAGTACTCCCAAACCCCCCAAGAAGAAAAAGAGTAAGAAGCAGTCACCAAAGAGAATGAGATCGAGTGATAATGTTAGCGAACCTGTGGTTGAAGCGTTTATGACAGATGAGACGCCATCTAGAGGAACAAAGTTGGTACAGCCTAAATCTGTTCAATCAGCGCAAGGTGTTCCCAATAGTGGACCGCCTCGACCCCAGGTTGGCCATAATTTTGGGCAGAAGCGTGGCCCTCAGTGGGGACCTAAAACTGATACTGGTCAATCAGCGTCAGGTAAGCGTCCTTACTTTGCCCCCTGTAGTGTGTGTCAGGTGGTCGGCCACCGAGCTTCAGCGTGTCCGATGAGGGTGTGTTTTGCGTGCAATCAGGCAGGTCATTTTGCAGCGCAATGTTCAAATAAGGGACAGCCCCAACAAAGTGTTGACAGTTGTCAAGTATGTGGTACCCGTGGGACAGTGTTTTCACAATGTCCGAACTGTGCCGCGTTCAGACAGTGGGTGGAAAACTGTCAAGGGGGGGGACCCAACGACCTTCCCCCCCCGTTAGCGAATCAGCCTCGTTAGTCAGCGCTCCATTCGTTAAAAATGATTGTTTTCTGCGGGTGAAATTAATGGAGTATTCAGAACCAAGTAACGATTCGGGAGGTAGTCAAGGTAATGTTCAGGGGTCTGAACAGTGTGTAATTAGCGCCGATTTTGCGACTAGTCAGGACGTGTGTCGTGGACAACGTCCAGAGTTACTAGTGAACGATGTTCAGGGGTCTGAACACAATGTTCGAAACAGCAAAAGTGCGACTAATGAGGACATCTGTAGGGTACAGAGTCCTCAACTGCTGGTGAATCATGTTCACAGGTGTGAACAGAGAATTCCCAGCAATATTATTGCGACTAGTGAGGACGTGTATCGTGGACAACGCCCAGAGTCACTAGTGAATGATGTTCAAAGGTTTGAACATACTGTTCTAAACAGCAATAATATTCCGACTAGGGAGGCCGTGTGTTGTGAACAACGTCCAGAAACTAGTCCCAACAAGTCTCAGAGGTCTGAGCAAAGTTTGTGTAAAGAGTGTATTAGAGATGTTGGCGAATTAGCGGGTGATTTAATCAGCGTCTTGAAGATTCCGGATGAATTAGAGAGTCCAAGTGTTAGTGGAGCTCCAAGTGTTGATCGAGAATCAGCACGTGTAGTCCAGGAGGGGGTAGGAACTGCAGATGGTGCAGTTGAATCCCCAATCATCGACGAGACGGATTTCGGGAGTATCAGCGACAACAGACGTTTCTTTAAAGTATTTTTAGCGGATCAACCGTATTTAGCGTTGTTTGATCCGGGAGCGACAGTGTCAGTTGTAGGTCCCAAACTCGCGCAAAAATTCAAGGATCGTTTAGTAGGCATGAAGTCAGCAATATATAGTGCTATAGGCGGATCCACCAAGTCTCTTGGAAAGTTGAAGTTATGGTTGACTGTTGATGGTTGCACCAACTCTTTTGAGTTGATAGCCATCGACTCTTTGTCCCATGATTTGTTGCTTGGTAATGATTTTTGTAAAGAAATGGACATTGAGGTCCAATTAGGTAAAGGCTTATGGAGAGTCAGTGGCCGCGAATGGTATAAATTCGCGGAGAATAGAAATGAGCGTCTGGACGGCACAATTAACGCAGAGTGTGCGGGTATTTGTGATTCGACGTCTGATCAGCGTCAAGAAGTCCAGAGGTTAGTAGACGAATTAGTTTTATCCCAAACGGTTGAGCACGGGATGACAACTCATACTGAGTATCATATCAGCGTTTTGGACTCGACGCCGATGAAACATTGGCCTCGGAGCATGTCAGCGATGATGTTACATCAGTTGATTAAAAAAATTAACGCGCTTTATTGTTCTAATACGGTAGATCATATAAAGCGTTTGGATGCGTTGCGCGTTTTAGAAGTAAAATTTATTGAACCTTCATCACTGTCGGTTTACGACTTAAAGTCCAATAATATTCGTCGCACCGTTAATGCGCTCTTATTCGACTTAAAGCGTTTCATTCCTCCTCGTCTTGGGTTGTCATAATCAATGTCAGCGTCCAGAGAGAGTGAGTCTCTGCTGGAGGACCTTCGGTTCCTAGAGAACCAATAGGCCAGTTGGCCAGAGGAAGTGGCCCAAGTACCGCGAGCCCAATTTTCGGAGGAGCGACAAATGAATTTTTCTTTACAATATAAGATGAATTTCTCTGTAAAGTAATATTTTCGGAATTCAGCGTTTCGTTTCGTTTTGGGTTTTATCGGCGATAATAGCAGGCTATTATCGGCCTAGGGAAGGGGTTTGTAACGATGTAAATCGTTACTTATATTGGTTGGTATCTGTCAGCGTTTTCGCCCCTCTTGATCTATCAGCTGTTTAGTTTTTCGTGTCAACGTGCCATGAACATGTGTTCTGGCAGTTTTTCTGCGTGAGGATCTGCGCATGTTTGTGCCGCCTAAAGGCCCGATTGTCAGCGTCGTTATCTAGGTTTTCCGGGGAGCTGCCGCCAAATCGTCCAGGGAGAAGGATGGAGCGATAGGGGTGACGAGGAAAAGGGATAGCGCGCCCCTCTTAACAGATTAGGAGATCTAGGGGAAGTTGGCGTCAATAGTCAGTCGATTTTGGATCGTATTGAAAGGAAGACCCTTTCGCGGGACTCATAATTTATAATCGCGTTATACGCTTAATTATTCAATAAATAGTTGTATGTGTGAAATAAATCTTTATTCGTTGTTAACTAAATGTGTGTTATTTGTCGTTACAATATTTTCGATTTATCAGCGTCAGTCAACGTCGTCTTAGTGTCGGCATTTCGACATTGCTGAGTTCTTTTATGGTTCATCTTGTTCTGGGATCATCAATGCACCGATGGTTCGACTTGGTTGGAATCTCCCTTTGGTATTTTTCAGAGGAATTTAAGATAAGTATTTAGCGTTCGATTAATGTGGACGGTGCAAGCGGGTTTCCCATAACGCGCGAAAGTCCACCATTATAAAATATGTAGAAAAAATATTAATTTCGTTAATTAAATTACAAATTTTAATTGTGAATTATTGAATTATTTAAGAACTTAAAAGAATTTCACTTATAAACAATGTTAACAGTGTGTTTATTATTATTGACTTTCGTAGTCGGTGTACTTGGAAGTATAATTTTACGCTCACATCGCAATAACCAAAATTATTGGAGAAAAAAAGGATTAATTTCATATGTCAAACCAATACCAGTATTTGGAAATTTTTATTCTATTATGTTTAGAAAAGAATCAATGGCCGATTATATTACACAAGTCTACAATCTTTTTCCATCTGCAAAATATACTGGAATTCTTCAATTTAACATACCAACATTAGTTATAAGGGATCCCGAATTAATAAAAGATATTTGTGTTAAAAATTTCGATAACTTTCCAGATCACAAAAATTTTATTCCCGAAGATGCAGATCCTCTATTTGGAAGAATGGTATTTTTTCTAACAGGTAGTAAATGGAGGGAAATGCGTCAAACACTAACACCATCGTTCACAGGAAGCAAAATGAAATTTTTGTTTGAATTAATATCAAAATGCTCAAGAGATTTTGTTGAATATTATCTGGATCATCCAAACGAGGCAAATTCTGTTGACATGAAAGAAACTTCAACACGTTATGCCACTGATGTAATAGCGACAACAGCTTTTGGAATAACGGTTAATTCATTAAAGGATCGAAATAATGAATTTTATTTAAGAGGAACAGAGGCTGTAGATATAAATGGTGTTATACGCAATATTAAAATAATGGCACTAGCAACATTTACAACTTTTATGAAATTAATAGGTGAACCAATTATGTCACGTTCAACTACTCGATTTTTTAAAAGAATTATTCAAGAAACAATAAAAATAAGAAACGAAAAAAATATTGTTCGTCCAGACATGATTCATCTTTTAATGAAAGCTAGCAATAATGAGAATGGTGCCAAAATGTCAATAGACGATATTGCTGCACAAGGATTTATTTTCTTTCTAGGTGGTTTCTCATCATCATCGACTGTCTTGGCTTCTGTGATTCACGAACTTGCGGTAAATTCAGAAATACAGGAAAAGTTACGCACAGAAGTAGATAATTTTACGAAACAAGAAGGAGAAATTTCCTATGACACTCTATTCAAAATGAAATATTTAGATATGATCATGTCAGAAACTCTTAGAAAATATCCGCCTAACGGTATAATGGATCGAGTATGTGTAAAATCATTTACTTTACCAAAATCTACACCCGATAGTAAAGAATTTGAAACTGATTTAGAAACTGTAATATGGTTACCCATATATGCACTTCATCACGATCCAAAATATTTTCCCGATCCAGAAAAATTTGATCCTGAAAGATTCAGCGATGAGAATAAAGATAAAATAAATCCTTATGCTTATATTCCATTTGGACTTGGTCCAAGAAAATGTATTGGAGATCGATTTGCATTAATGGAGATTAAAATTTTGATTGTACATTTGTTGCAAAATTTTGTCTTAGAAAGAGAAGAACGAACGAAACATCCTATCGAATTTGAAAGAAGCTTTCTTATTATTCCTGATGGTGAAATGTGGGTGAAATTTAAGAAGAGAGGGAATTGATTGTAAAAAATGTTGAATTTATTCAAAATAATTGAAACTATTTTGTTATTTTATGGTTGTGTTTTTTAAAGTTACAAACTTTATACGCAGAAATACGTTATCATTGTATCAATAAATGTTATCAAGAAAATTAATATTTTTACATCATTTGTGAAATTCTTGGACATTTTAATTATAGATAATTAATAAGTTAAGTACATAAATACAACATTTTTTCGTTATTTTAATCATACTATAACGAACTTTAATGACACTATTATCGGGAATTATCAAATCTCATCTTAAATTTTAACATGAAACATTTTTTTCATTTCCTGAAAGCTGATGAAATTCTAAAAAATGCAGCACTCAAATAAACAGGTTATGTTAATTTTTTTCTTCAATATTATTAATCACGATAAAAATTTTTTCAAACAAAAGTTTTAATTAATTATTTTTAAATAAATATCATTTGAAATAATTCAACTTTGACAAATGACATCATTTTATGGCAATGACGTAAGCAAGGTCTATTTCAAGATCAATGTACTCCACTCACTGTGTCAGTAGAACGGCAACGCGGTGACTGTAAAGATCACAACGTTCACTTTTCTGTATTCGATTAAACGACAGAAGATAATTTCACATTTTTAATACTGTTAATCAGATTCTTATAGGAAACAGTATTTATAGAAATAATATGATAAATATAAATATTTGTATATAATGATTTAGATAATTGTTAATAATTAGTAAATTCTTATTATTAATTGTTTAATTAAATTAAGATAATTATATACTATGTTCCTAAAGGAAAATTGAAAATCAATCAATCAAAATAATTTTCTCATATATGTGTACTTTGGAAGATGGGTTCATTTTTATCGTTGGTGACGTAAGACTTTACGAGACTGTTTTAACTTTCGCAAATTGTAAACGTGCTTCAGTATAAAAGAAACGTTACACATGCAAACATCACGAGTTTAAGTATTTACGTTTCTAAATGTACGAAATTGTAGCTTAAACATTTAATATGAAAAGTTGTTCTACATAGTGTTTTAAAAAAGTGTACAATATGGTTACAGTGTACTTATTACTATTGACCTTCATCGTTGCAACGATAGGCCTTCTAATATTTATCAAACGATGTCGGAATTATTGGACGAAAAAAGGAGTAATTCCACATGTCGAACCTGTTCCGTTATTCGGAAATACATTACCAATGATGTTTAAACAAACATTATCAGCACCTGAATTCATCAATCAAATTTACAACCTGTTTCCAACAGCAAGATATACCGGTCTTATGCAATTTCAAACGCCAGTAATAGTTTTACGCGATCCTGAACTACTAAAAGAAATTTGCATCAAAGATTTTGATAACTTTCCAGATCATGGCAATTTTTTCCCCGAAGATGCAGATCCTCTGTTTGAAAAGAATTTATTTATCCTACGAGGAAACAGATGGAAAGGAATGCGAAATACATTATCGCCAACATTTACAGCAAGTAAAATGAAATTCATGTTTACATTGATCTCAAAATCGAGTCAAAATTTTGTTGATTATTTTTTGGAAAAGGAAGAAGAAACATTTTGCATCGAAATGAAAGATATTTTCACTCGCTATACCAATGATGTAATCGCAACAGCTGCTTTCGGTATCACGGTCAATTCATTGAAAGATAGAGACAATGAATTCTATTTGAAAGGCAAGGATGCTACGAATTTCAATAGTTTTTTTCGTGGAATAAAATTTGTCGCTTTACGTTATTGTACATCAATTATGAAATTACTAGGTGCAAAAGTAATGTCACGTTCAGCAACTAAATTTTTTCAGACAATTATTCAAGAAACAGTGAAAGTAAGAAATGAAAAAAATATCATTCGACCAGATATGATACATTTATTAATGGATGCTAGCCGAAATGAAAATGGTGTTGAAGTGACAATTGATGACATTATTGCGCATTCAATTGTATTTTTCCTGGCAGGTTTTACTACTTCAGCGATAGTAATGGAATTTGCTGCACATGAACTAGCTGTAAATCCTGACATACAGGAGAAGCTGCGAAAGGAAGTGGACCATTTTATGAAAGAAGAAGGTGGAGAAATTTCGTACGACACGATTTCCAAAATGAAATATTTGGATATGGTAATTTCTGAAACACTTCGAAAATATCCTCCAAATTCAATAATGGATAGGTTGTGCGTGAAAAAATATACTTTACCAAAAGCTACACCAAACAGTAAAGAATATACCATAGAACCAAATTGTTTGATATGGTTACCCATATATGCTCTACATCATGATGAAAAATATTTCCCAGATCCGGAAAAATTTGATCCTGAGAGATTTAGTGAAGAGAATAAGGATAAAATTAATCCGTATGCCTATATTCCGTTTGGATTGGGACCAAGAAAATGTATTGGCAACAGATTTGCTTTAATGGAGATAAAAGTACTGTTTGTTCATTTGTTGCAAAATTTTATTTTAGTACGCGATGAAAGAACAAAACATCCTATAGAATTCGAGAAAGGTTTTGTTGTTGCTGCCGAAGGTCAATTTTGGATTAAATTAAAGAAGAGGAATCCTGATAATAAAAATGTGATATGATTTAGATTAATTTGAAATTTGATTTTTAAATTAAATATGTTTTCAATACACGTGAATCTATTTCAAAATATATACTTTTTTTATTTTTCTACAATAAATATTTATTTGTTAATAGTAAAGTAATCGAGTATTTTTGAATCAAATAATTTTTTTACAGTGTACGACAAATAAAACTTGATTATTTAATTTCATTTCCTTTATTATTGATTTTGCGAGAAAAAATTTATTATCAATAAATGTACAACGTTATCAAATAAAAATAATATTCTCATTAATTTTATTTGATTCACTATATCAAGGAATATGATTTTTCGTTCTCTCGTCAAACTACAACAATGAAGAGAAATTCAGGGGTCAATAGTTCCAATGTAATTTACATATTGATAGTATTATTGCTCTTGACATTGTAAGTCATTAAAATCAGTTTTATTGTTAAGCAATCGATTTCGAATCTTTCACACGGATTTAATAAGAGATATGTCTTTTGAATTTTGTTTTTTCAGTTTGCAAATTTGCGAAAAATTCAAATTTCATCAAAAATGTTGTAAAAAAAATAATTTGTCCTATTTGGTAATAGATGGAAAAAAATGAAAATTCATACGCAAAGAAGTGAACAAATTTACAAATCATTACGATGCAATAATTATAATGAATATATATATATATATATATATATATATATATATATATATATATATATATATATATATATAAAGATAGCAACGATAATAAGTATGTATGGGTTAAAATCAGCAGTAAGCTAAACAGTTTGTCAACATACAGGGCCGTAGCAATTACTTGAAGTAATCTGCTTCTGATTAAATATGAAATACCTAAATTTATTAAATGATAAGAATCCCTTAAAGATAAATGAATTTCAGCTTGATTTTTAGAATAAATTTTGAACAATAAAATAACACTTGGTATTACCAAAGGTAAAATAGAACAAATTAATATAAATGTTTAAGCTTTTTTTAATAAAAATACCTATACATATAAAAATAATATGTGATACTTGACGGATAATTATAATAAAAAAATATATTTCAAGGAACATTCTATCATATATGATTAAAAGTAAAAATATTGATCGGTTGATTATACTTTAAAAGATGACTTCATTTTATCGTTGGTGTGACGTAAGACTTTACTAGACTATTTTAACATTCGCAATCTCTAAACGTGTTTCAGTAGTAAAGAAACGCTGCAAATGCAAAGATTAACGCGTTTAACTTTTTAAATAAACGACATTAAATATTTTTTCACACATTTAAAATAGTAACGAGTAACAAAAATATTAATAATTCTATAAAAAAAGGAACATCATAAAAAACGGTTTAAAAAAAGTGAATCATGATTACGATGTACTTATTGCTATTGACCTTCATTGTTGGAGCGATAGGTCTTCTATTATTTACCTATCGTTATAGAAATTATTGGAAAAGACAAGGAGTAATTCCTCATATCAAACCTGTACCCTTATTCGGAAATACATTAGATGTGATGTTTAAGCGATCTCTATCAGGACCTGAGTTTATCAATAAAATATACCAACTATTTCAAAAAGCTAAATACACCGGTATAATGATGTTTCACACGCCATTAATTGTCCTACAAGATCCAGAATTAATAAAAGAAATTTGCATTAAAGACTTTGACTATTTTCCTGATCATAATAGTTTTTTTACAGAAGATGCAGATCCTTTGTTTGGAAAGAATTTATTTGTTTTACGAGGAAACAGATGGAAAGGAATGCGAAATACATTATCGCCAACGTTTACTGCAAGTAAAATGAAATTTATGTTTACATTAATCTCAAAATCAAGTCAAAATTTTGTTGATTATTTTTTGAATAAGGAAGACGAAACATTTTGTATCGAGATGAAAGATATTTTTACACGCTACACGAATGATGTAATAGCAACAGCTGCTTTTGGAATCACTGTTAACTCATTAAAGGATCGAGATAATGAATTTTATCTGCATGGAAAGGATGCAACAAATTTTAATAGTTTTTCTCGTGGATTAAAATTTATCGCCTTACGTTACTGTGCACCAATTACGAAATTATTTGGAGCCACAGTAATGTCACGTTCGGCTACTCATTTTTTTCAGAATCTTATTCAAGAAACTGTGAAAATAAGAAATGAGAAAAATATTATCCGACCAGATATGATACATTTATTATTGGAAGCTAGCCGAAATGAAAAAGGTGTTGAAGTGACAATTGATGATATTATTGGGCATTCAATTATATTTTTCCTTGCTGGTTTCGCTACATCTGCATTAGTAATGGGATTTGCGGCACATGAACTTGTCGTAAATCCTGAGATACAGGAAAAGCTGCGCAAGGAAGTGGACCATTTTACAAAAGAAGAAGGTGGAGAAATTTCATACGACACGATTTCCAAGATGAAATACTTGGATATGGTAATTTCTGAAACACTTCGAAAATATCCTCCAAATGCAATGATGGATAGGTTATGCGTGAAGAAATATACTTTACCAAAAGCTACGCCAGATAGTAAAGAATATGTGATTGAACCAGGTTCTATGATATGGTTACCTATATATGGTTTACATCATGATGAAAAATATTTCCCAGATCCGGAAAAATTTGATCCTGAGAGATTTAGTGATGAGAATAAGGATAAAATTAATCCTTATGCCTATATTCCGTTTGGATTGGGACCAAGAAAATGTATAGGCAACAGATTTGCTTTAATGGAGATAAAAGTACTGTTTGTTCATTTGTTGCAGAATTTTATTTTAATACGCGATGAAAGAACAAAACATCCCTTAGAATTTGAGAAAGGTTTTGTTGTTGGTGCCGATGGTGAATTATGGATTAAAATGAAGAAGAGGAACAACGATAATAAAAAGTTGATGTGATTTTATTTAATATGTGATGAAATTTCTATTTCAAATTAAAAATCTAGTTAAATCTGTTTTTTTGTTATTTAGCGAAAGTGTGTTTAATTTTTGTTACCTATTTGATACTTAACTACTATTTCGGCACTGAAAAATTATTTGGTTCGATTAAATATTAATTTGATATATTCATGTAAATATTTGAATCAAATTAATTTTTTTTCAGTGTATTTTGAAACAGAAGCATTTTTACTTTTTCTACAGAAATGCTTTAAAATGAAAATTTATAAGAGATTGCACAACCTTTTTTTGAGTTACAGATTTTCGGGAAGTTTAAGGACTAATAGAGCTAATTAAATTAATGATTAATTTAAATGTTTTTAAAAAATTTCGTATGTTATTTACTACAACCTTGCATTTAATTGACATAATTGTAGCAGTTCTACTTTAACATTTTGCTATAGTAGTCGCAACGCAATATGGCGTCGCAATATTTTTATTGTTCTTGACATTCATATACTTGTCGCGGTCGGTGTTGTATTATTCGTTCTCAAAAAAATTAATCCTATACATTGAATCATAAATTTCATAAAAATAAAATTTACAATAAACTATTGTCATAAATATTCAGTTGTCATTTTCTTTAGTATTTTACATAATTTTCCTTAATTGAAAGTGTAAAAGTTTGTAATCGTTGAAAAGGAGAAATATTGTTAATACTCGGACAATATGACGACGAAGAATCGAGAAAGTGGAACATTTTCTAAAACGAGAAGCTTCCCCTTCAAAAAGTTCATAATACTGAGTTGGAGAAACGCTCAAAACTTTCTAGGGGGGGTTGAAATTCTCTAAAGCTCTTTTTCTACTTAAGCACCATGACGGCCGCTCCGAACTCTAAAGTTTATAAATAAAGAAGTTCGAAACGGTTAGACAAAAAGGTGCCCAAGAGTCATGAACACGAATTTCACAGAGCGCCCTCGTTTGTATAAAACTTGATGTGCAAAAACATTCATCGATCCAATGTACGCCACATTTCCTTCTCAATGTTAATTATAATAATTTAGTCAAGCGATTTTGTTCACAGGACAGAATTATTCGCACGTAAAATATTTGATGATGAAAACTCAACCCTACTTTGCCATTTACTAACCAGAATATTTAATTTTACAAAAAATGCTTTAATATGCTTATTATATATAAGACAAATAAAAATCTTCCATATTAAAATACATTAATTAAAATTTTATCATTTATTTTATTGGGAAATTATACTAAAACTTTTTCAATTAAAAATAAAATATTCTCCATAAACATAAAAAAATTAATTAGAAATATAGTTTGAAAAAGTCATAAAAATCCATAAAATGTGGGTAATAAATTTAATAATTAAAAAAATTTTGTTATTTTGAAAAACTATTTCGAGCAACCACCCAATTCGTTCTAAAATGAAGAAATTGCGACAAAAAAGCTATAAGAAAAGAAAAACAACAAAAGATCAGTGAAGAGATGAAAGTAGACCTCCCACTCACAAACCTCATACTTCTTCCTTTAATCTCTTTTTTCCTTAACACAAGGACAAAGGAAATGAAAAAAAAACAGAATTCCTAATTATAAAAACTCCGAAAAACAGGAAACAAACTTTATAAATCTAAAATAATTATTCTTGCGCAATTTGAGGGAAATAAAAAATATAGTAGTTGTTAAATTAATAAAAATTTTCTTCTTAGACAAAAATTTACTAGATTTTTGTACTTTTTGTCCGTCAGTAGTAAAAGACAATTTTAATCAGACAATGTGACTTAAATTATTGTTGTTATTAAAAATTATTGTAATTTTTATATCAGTAGTCGATGAATGTTTCAGTCGGACAACAGATTTTAAATTCAAGTAACTTTAACATTAGTAGTAAAAGATAATTTTAATCAGACAACTATACTCTCATTGAAAAAACAATTATTTACCCAAGTTTTGTCAATAAATTCATCATTATTAATCAGTTTTGCTATTTTTTGTCATATACAATAAATATCACCATAAAATTGGATAGATAACAAGTTGGGGAAAGTAAGACTATATAGTTGGAGTTAATAACAGTGGTGCGAATTCGGCACGTGATATCGATATCGTGTGTATAAGGCTAGGCGAGAGATCGCCAAAATCCTAAAATTCCAGTGTCCCTGGAGGACCTACCACCTTAATCAAAGACCTTGGGATGCTGGGGTGGAAGGAGATCGCATGTAGGGGGGGGGACAAGAAGGGGGTCAGTGAAACTGAGAAACGTGAAATGCGGATATGCGGAGGACCGCTCACTGGGGACAAGGGAAAAGAGGTATGAGAACAACAGGGGTGCGCACGTCCTGCGTATACGCACGACAAGGCAGACTTGAGTCCTCTCTCGGTTAAATGAGGCTAACTCCGAACAGAACTCAAACTCGGAACAGGGCGCGGTCTCAACCAAAATCGATTTTGGAAAGACGAAGAGAGAGGGCGAACAAAGAGGAAGATGCGATACAGATTATAGAGGATCCTGCTCCAACGGGCTTCCCTGATCTCACATCAGAGAGGGACGCGTGACCCTCCTTTTGCCGACGATCCCTCTTTAAAACCAAGTGGGAGGATGGGTCAAAGTAAAAAGAGCAACGTACACACATACACACACATAACCCGGTGGAAGCATTTTTCTTTCCACTCGGTTCCACCATATATAAATGACTCGTAAACTTAGTCAATTATCGATCTATTTACACAAACTTCGGATTAATTTTACTCGGGAAAACAATATTATTTCCACATATATAAACAATGTTATATTATTTCAAATATCTCATTATTCTGTTGATTATAATAACTAATTACTATTGTTGAGCCATTATTAAAAAATGTTTATAAAATTGTTTATTCATTTTTGTGATTATTATAAAAGCCTTTTTTGTTTGTTTATTTTACATCCGTTTCATTAATGTTAATTTAAAAAAAAATAAAAGCCTATTGTTTTTAACTAATTATAGAAAATTTAGATTCTTAATTAAATTTTTACAATATTGTCGGTGAGATTTAAGATTTTTTTATTGTTGTGAATTAAATCTTAATATTTATCAATGAAATTAAAATTTTTTTAAATTACTAATCCATTAAGTGGAAAAAGTACGATTGGCGAAAGATTTGGTTAATCTTACGAGCCATGTTATATCTAGAAACCAATGCCAAGTCTCAGACTTAAATATTAATCCAAGACTTGTGATATTGAAAAATCAATCTTCAACCAAGAATTAAAATAAATTAAACATTATCAAATATTATTTTTAAATTATTAATAATAATAATCAATAAAATGAATTCTTAATAAATAATGAAAATTTATTTCTATTTTAGACTGTCTACAATGGAAATGAATTGTCGGTATTTATTAAGAATTAATTTTATTATGCTTATTATACTAATTATTATTATTACTATTATTATTATTATTATTATTATTATTATTATTATTATGACTATTATTATTATACTATAATAATTTTATTAAATTTTTATAAAAAAACAATTTATTTTTAGATTTATTTTACCTCCAAAAAAATTATCTCATATTTATTTTAAAATTTGTAGCCTAATCTCTATACTCGAAAATACATCGATATACCTCAGTGTATAAGTATTTATGCGAAATATAACGCAGTAGACTTAAAAACGTCATAGTCGAAGCGAAAAGAAAGTAGTCTTCAGTCTGACTCTGCACTTAACTGACGTGCGTGAGATGGAGTCGTTGAATTTAGTACTTTGGACCCTCATTATTGGGGCACTGGGTGTCCTACTATTTCTCTTCTTCAAAGTAAATTTTTGGAAACGAAAAAAAATTCCTCACCTTAAACCTGTTCTGCTATTTGGCAATACTGCTCCAATTTTTTTTCAAACGAAACCTATTGGTCAATTTGTCGCTGATCTTTATAATAGTTTTCCAAATGCTAAATATTTCGGAATGATGGACATTCACAAACCAGTGGCGGTTATTCGTGATCCCGAATTAATCAAGGAAATTTGTGTGAAAAATTTTGAAAATTTCATCGATCATCAATCGTTTATCGATGAAACAATGGATCCTATTTTTGGGAAAAATGTATTTTCCCTAAAAGGTGAGCGTTGGAGGGAAATAAGAAATACACTAAGTCCAGCGTTTACGGTAACAAAAATGAAATTTATGTTTGAATTAATTGAAAAGTGTGCTGAAAATTTTGTGCAATATTATTTAAAACATCCAAAAGAAACGGAATTAATTGAATCTGAGGACGTATTTATGAGATATACCAATGACGTAATTGCAACGAGTGCATTTGGAATAAGTGTTGACTCTCTAAAAGATAGAAATAATGAATTTTATCAACGAGGTAAAGATGCCACGTCATTTGGTAAAGGATTGCGTGCTTTTAAAATTTTAATTTTTCGTATTTGTCCACAATTTATGAAATTAATTGGCGAACCATTTCTATCACGATCTACTGATCAATTTTTTAAGAGAATCATTCGTGAAACTGTGAAAATTCGAGAGGAAAAGAAAATCATTAGACCTGATATGATTCACTTACTAATGGAAGCCAGAGACAAAAACAATGGTGTTGAATTAACAATCGATGATATTATTGCTCAATGTTTTGTTTTTATTTTGGCAGGCTTTGACACAACTACAACGGCAATGTGTTTTATTGCTCATGAATTGGCAATGAATTCTGAAATTCAGGACAAATTACGCAAGGAGATTGACAGTTTTATAAAAAATAAAGAGGAAAAAATAACCTACGAAACTCTATCAAAAATGAAATATCTCGATATGGTTATTTCGGAAGGATTAAGAAAATATCCACCAGGACCATTTGCAGACAGAGTATGCATTAAAAAATATACTTTACCAAAAGCAACAGCAGACAGCGAAGAATATACAGCTGAGGCAAAATCTGTTATTTGGATTCCCATTCAAGGACTTCATTACGATTCGAAATATTATCCCGATCCTGACAAATTTGACCCGGAAAGATTTAACGATGAAAATAAGGAGAAAATTCATCCCTATGCGTATTTACCATTTGGTGTTGGTCCAAGAAAATGCATTGCCAATAGGTTTGCATTAATGGAAATAAAAGTTTTGTTCGTTTATATTTTGAAGAATTTCATTTTGGAAAAGTGTGCGAAAACAAAACATCCAATAGAATTTCAAAAGGGTTTTACTGTTGCTGCCAAAGGTGGTTTATGGTTTAAATTAATAAAAAGAAATAACTGAACAAAAAAAGAAATTTTTTTTGTAATTATTATTTTAATTACCAGTGTCGTTTGATAGGAAAGCAGTATTAAATTGTCAAAGGCTTTGAATGCGATTGAAAAAAAGGCTTTAAAAAAACAAAAGTTTATGCTTGAGTTTATCAATCGTTCGTCTTTAAATAATAAGATGTAAAGATAACGTTACTTTGAGTCAAGGAAAAAAAAGAAAACATTCGCAACAGTAAAATGTACAACTCTCATTATGGAGTTTTATCTCTATGATAATATTTAATAATAACAATAATAATAATAAATAATAGTAATAAAAATAATAAATAATATAATATTTTAATTAATAATTAAATTATTTTTATTCTTTGAGATTGATTTTTCATATAACTGAAATATTATGTTTTTAGCCTTGAGCTAATATTGATCAGAATTAATCCAATATTTAGCCAATCGTCAGACTTGGTAATTTCCCATTGAAATTAATTGTTGTAATTATTAATATGTTGTTATAAACAATTGCAAATTTTAAACAATAAATTTTTATTTTTAAATTACAATAAATAATTAAAAATTGTTATAATATATGTGAGATTCCTTTTATTAAATAATAAAAATTAAAAAAGAAAAATTGTTTAATTTTAAATTACGTTAAACGAACGTTTGACCTGAATAACCTGATTGTTATAGGACATCCTAATATCGGATATTGAATTATTTCCTAACTTCCACCTCTCTCTCTCTATGTGTGAAACAACTAAACAATTTCACTGTTAACTGAATTTCATCAGTTAACAAAAGATCAAAAGCATCGCAAATGAAACCTTCAGTTTTCATGATATTGCGGGAATTCCTCTTTGATTCATTGCCTGTAATCCTATCAGAACCAAAAGCAGAGACCCTATTTTCCAATCTCTTGGGTAATTTCAAATTCCGTCTTTCCTAAAAAAAAAGGTGCTCTTCGACCCTCTTGTAAGATTTCGCGAATTGTGATTGCATGAAGTACCTTTTTATCAATGTGAATATTTATTTATATATGTCTATACTTTCCCTAAGATTTCTTTTCAAAAACCTCGAGTTCAATTTACATTGAAATGATCAAAACAAGGATATCAATAATTTTTATAGATTTGTTTTACAAGAAAAAAAATAATTTGTCTTATGATAAACGCAGGGAAGAAAACTATATACATATAGTAATTGAGGAAATTTTGCAAGTTGAACTTTTCCATAAAACTAAGTTTCTGAATTATTTTATGAAATTTGGTATCTTGGAACCCCTTATGAGAAACGTGTCTTGCATGAACATATAGTATACACAACGTTTCCTGATATAATTAGATTGATGTGCTGGTACATACCGGAGAGAAGCTCCATATCCTCCATATTTGGTAATCTCGTCTTACACGCACAACAGTAAGCAGTACTGACTTTAATTAAGCACGAATTAACTTCAACCAGGATCTATTAACTAAACTTAGTCAGTAGTAATTTCACTGAATTCAGAATCCAAAGTTTCCTTAATTATTCAAATTAAAGATGCAAAAATTTATTTTCATCAAAAATATAATTTTAAATTACTCACAAGGTAGACGGAAAAAAATATTTATTTGATTCAAATAATCGGTTACGATTATTATATCAAATTCAACGATAATATGTAAAATTCTTTAATATACTAAAATTCCTGCTCAGAAGTTGTGCATAAATTTTAATATTTCCGGTCATTAATATTGAGATAAAAATTAGAATATCCAAAACTAAATTTAAAAAGATTCTGAATGATAAGATTTCGTTAAATATTCAATTTAAATTTTCACTTCTTAGTCGCACCTTTGCACGCGGTAAATTAAGATAAAGAATCGGTTTTTTATTTCTATTCAGGATAATCTGTCTTAGTAAACGATGTAGTAAAGTTGTTTTCTCGACAGGGTTTGGTTTTCGAGTTCTAACGTCATTCGTCAGGACAAAGTGAGGTCTTTATCTTTACCTGGATATATATACACGCCCAGGTTTCATACGATCGATAGTGCTTCTCGATCTTCGTCGGTTCCCTAAATTCGTTTTTCCCACAAACGAGCAAACTGTAACGTATCCCAAGTGTAATTTGGTCTTTTTAAGGCTCGAGGTCAGTCGTAAAGTTTACTGGATCACCCATAAAATCTAACCCCACACTCCACCCCTCTTCCCCACTCATTGGAAAAAAAAGGCATCAAAAAAACCTTAGCTTCTAGAATATAATCGGTGTGAGCAACACAATTGCGGGAGAATGAAAGAAAAGCAAAGTGTAATCTCTTCATTACTTAATAACCTGACTTTTGTGTTTTAATGAAAATGTTTTCGTTTTTATTCCTCAAGTTTATTGCGTATACGTGAAAATTTTCATTGTTGCGTCAGTCGAGGTTTTTCTCTCTTTAAAAAAAAAAAAAAACAAAAATCTACTGGCGACAGAAATATTAATTATTGCTCGCGTGGAAGGATCATATACTTTTGAAATGAAATTTTAATTATTTCACGCGGAAACTAAATTCAGTCTGCGTATGTGCGTTATTAGATTTTACCGCGGGCATATACGAACCGCAAATTGAGATTTAGAACTTTGTGGAAAAAAAAATTATAGAATTTTTAAAAATCATTTTCCTAAATCTTCATTTAGAGTTGTAAAAAAAGAAAATTCGACTCAATTTTGAAAAAAACAGAATAATTATTAACAATAAATTTTGTATTCTTTATTATATATTTCTGGTGAAATTGTTTATATGTATCTAATGAATTCGTCACCTCTTATCAAAGGACAACTCATCAATTATACTTGGTACGCATCAACCATTCATTCCGTCTCAAGAATCTCCCCATGAATTCAAAATAGCTTCTCACTATTATATATACATATAGGAAGAACTCCCACTTGCACTAAGAATTCAACTCACATCAAATGTTTTTCTCAAGTGTAGCTACAAGCACTCGAGGCTGAAAGTAACAAAGCCATGATGATGGAAGAAGAAGTGGAGTGGGGACTGCTTTAAAGAGGAGTATAGAGGTAGGGTTTGCATGAAAATAATTAGATCACAGCCTCGAGCTAGTGAACAAAAAAATGATGAACAAGAAACGAAAGAGAAGGTGCGAAAACAGAAGAAAAAAAAAAGAGAGGAACTTGTAATTAAATAATTAGTGGAGCTGCCGGTCTGGACACTTAAACTAATTTACGTTAATTAGGCTACCGATGGCGCTTGCCAGAATTTCATTCTGGCATTGTATAGGCCTTTCTATTGGTTTTCGATAAAAGCCTCACCTTCAAATACACCCGACAAAACCATTTTCAAATGCTCTTAGCGTAAAGTATCTCGCCTTTTAGAATGCAGACAGACATTGGGATCAGTTGTTCCGACTTGTCTCACAAAGAGAAAGAGAGATGGAGAAATAAGAGGATGACGATATATATATATAAAGAGAATTTCATTATATTCTATAGGATCCGTTTCTTGCCTTTGGGGCATATAAAGGCAAGAGAAAAGTGGTGTTAAAGGAAAACTTGAGAAAACACGCAAAACCACATTGCTTGCGGTGATTTAAAGCAAGTAATGAACCACTTTAAGGGAACGATCTTCTCGTAATAACTGCACCGGTAAATTTATTTTTAAATTAGCGTTAATTAAGTATATCGACTCTAGTGGAGCACCAGACTTTATAAAGAGGCATTTTTTTTGCCCGCAGAATTTAAAGCACCATTTACTTGATGCATGAATAAACATTAAGTTTCTCATATTTTTAAATATAAATGATTCACAAATTCTAATTACATCATTTTTAATTGATGTTTCTATTTTATATTTAACAGCTCGTTGCAATTTTAAATAATAACGTTGATATACGAAAGCAATAAAAAATTTAAGAAAAATTAATATTTCTAATTATTAGTAATTACTAATAATTACTCTAATATAATTATTTTTAATTTAGTAATTTAATTTTTTTTACAATATTCACGTCTAATAACAATGTTGACATTTGAATTACGGTTACAGAAGTGAAATGATAAATTATTTCCCGCGATATAATTTTTATTGAAGTTTAAAATCATCGAAATAAGCATTCATGTATAAAATAAAATTTTTTTTCTACTTTTCATTTATCATATAGAATACCCATTAATTATAATTTTCAAGTTATCGACATTTCTGTTAATATATACTTTTCATTTAATCAAATATTTATATTTCAAAACATTTAATTAATTTTCTATATGTAACATTATATTTACTGTATAACTAATTATTATCATTTAATCAAAATTCTCCTGATATATGAAATACTCTTTGCGTAATTTTCAATTATAATATTATACAATATCTATTGGATTCTGGATTGAATTTTCATTTAATGTAATTTTTATTAACTCGATTTATAATTTAATACAATCTTCAATTTATTTTATCGGATGTTCATTAGTCGAAACTCTAATTTTTGTAAAAATTCACATCCGCCAAAATTTGCATTTTACAAAATTAATTATAATTATAATTTTTATGCGACAAAAATTTTCTTTATCATATTGATACATTTAATGTTTAAATTTCGTTAGAATAAAAAATTTTTAAATTAATTTTCGAAACGTATCTTTGTATTTGAATAATTTATATTAACCGCGACGATAAAGTTTAAAATTTCCAAATATTATACTCAGTCGGGAAAAAAAAAATTCAATTTCAATTCTGTAATCGTACAATGAAATTGACAAAATTGACATTTGACGTGAATATTGAGAAAATTGGATTTCATTGAAAGTGAAAATGAAATCACATCAATCATGAGTCAAGAGGTCAAAATTTGTTGTCAATTTAAAGTAAATGTCAATTTTTCCAAATATTTCGACATTAATTTCACATGTAATTTGACAATTTTTCTAAATGTATAATATTTATATAATAATATTGGAAATGACTTTCATATTATTTCTCGTGATAAATTTTATTGATTAAAAGACTAAAATATATCAACAATTGAGTAAATAACTTTGAAAAAATGTATTAAAAAGAAAAAAGGGATTTTAATTAATTTCCTCTACTGATTCCGCGTGTTGTGCTTTATTAATTGAACCAATTTCTCTATAGAGTTGCACTTAATTTTGAATCTATATTGCACTCTATTTTTTTTTTTTTTAACAACGATGCATTAATTACTTTTGTAATAGCTGATAAACTAGTTGAATGAAAAATTGCAAACTTTAAAGGTTAGTTTGTTCCGGCATGAAACTTTGCTGCAGATAACAACATCAGTTTTATCAGAGTAAAATATCAGGTCTGGGCAAGCAATATGTTACCCTCCCCCCCTCCATTCTTTATATACCCAGTTTGTGAGTATAAAAGAACTAACCAGAGTTTACTCAGGAAATATGACTTTAAAAACTTTCTAATATAAAGTAATTGTAATTTCTCCATTATTTCAAATTTTACTTGAATTATTTTCATCGATTTTTAAAGATTTGTGAAAATTAAATAACTTTTGCTCCTGGGATAAATATATATTATTTAACCTTTAAAAGAATTATTTAAAACCTAATATTTCTATTAATTCATTAATTGAATGAGAAAAATGTCAGTTTTTCATGGAAATGTAAAAAAAAAACGATTTCAGGGAAATCAATTGACCTACTTAGAAAATATGTCACTTGCCACCATGCAAAATAAAATCATTGAAGTCCAATGACGTTTGGGACGCTTTGTTGTGAAGAATCATGGATATAAATTGAAAAATTAAAAAGCACTCACCATTCGCGGATTCCCTTGTCGAGGATCTCATCGAGGATCTCATCGAACTCCCTGGAGATTTCTTCTTCCCAGATGAAGACCGAGAAGATGCGCACCAGGAATTTAATTTCTGGAACTATCTGCCATTTTCTTCCCTTCTTTTCAGAATAGCAGCTGAAAATTTACAGAAATATATTAAAATAAATATTTATTACAGCAAGAAAATATTAAATTCTTTAATTTTTAAATTTACAAATATAAAAGCAAATATATTAAAAAAGAATTCATATTATTTTTCAAAATAAATATTAACCTAACCATATTTCGTTTGTATATTTTTTTTAATATTATATAAATATAAATATTTTATAAGTATACCTATTTTGTAAAAATTAGGCAATTTATACTAATCAAGAATATTTGTAAAAAATAATTATTTTTATCAAAAACTAATAGGGTAGGTACAAAAAACTTTAATTCAAAAAACTGTTTTGTATGCGAAAAATAGACAACAAATTAATCTACTTTTTTGACACGAAAAGTTTTTAATAATTTGTAAATGATAATATTAAATTTAAAAGTTTACGTAAACATCACTTTTTATAAAATTTATTTCTTCACTTACTAAAAAAAATATATTTAAGAACTTTATGAATTATGACAAATTTTTTCTGAAACAATATTTGCTAACTCACAGATTATCTCATTTCCTACGAGACACCTTGAAATCAGTATAGAAAAATAACAAGTCTATCATTAGTTTCGCAGCAATAAGAAATCACTAAAAATTGAATTTTTTTTTTAGAGTTTATGCAAATTTTGAAATTATTAAAAAAATGTCTCTAAAAAAACCATAATTAATTTATAGAATTGTTTATAACTTCCTATCATTTCTATTTTTATAATATAAAATAATAACCTTTCTCACCTATGATTTCTCGCTCGATTAATTGAAAGTCATTCTGACTGTAATTTCCATCCAATTAAACTTTCATAATCAGGAATTTTTTCAAGAAAAATATCAACTTGAGTTGAAAACGTCTAGAATAGATTCCGTGGAGTGGAGTAATTATCATTTAAATATTTTTCATTTATTATTTCCTGCATTCTATCATCCTCGCATAGAGTAAGAAGGAGATTTTTTTTCTGCAAATTAAATAAAAAGGAATTATGCATATTTTAATAAAATATTAATTATATAATTAAAATTTAATGGAAATTATTTTATTCAATCAAATAAAAATTGATTTTCATTGCAAACTCGAAATTAATATATCTTTTTAATCAAGAAATTTATCATAAAAGATTAAATATTTGATTTAAATGATCATTAAAAATTGTTCACTTCCTTCTGAGAAACTATTTGAAATAGCGTAAATTCAACTCATAAAATATTTAGATTCAATAAAGACTTCGATCTTTAGTTCAATGAAACCAATAACTTTCAATATCTTAAAATGAAGAAAATTATGATAAAGAATTATAACAAATGATAATATATTTATATATTGGTTAAAAGTAATAATAAATATGAAAATCAAATTAAATAAATTACCATTTTAATTAAATTTTCATTTTCCAATTAATTTTTACTTACATGTGATTTTACGATTTTATGTAAAATTATTTTTATCCAAATTAAAAAATTAAACGATTTTTTATGATTAATATAAATTATGTATTATACTTCCATTATTTAAAATTAACTTTAGCAATATTATTTAAATAAACGAGATCAAACTGAACATGTTTGGTTACTTTAAAATACAATGAAAAATTGATTGAAATTTTAAACAACGATATTTTATAAAATTATTATAGAAATATCGTAAAATCATTTTCTATTGTTATAATAAACTGCGTGAAAAGTCGACTGATCGCATGTGAATTAAATTCAACTAAAATATTTATACTTTTAAAAGAATAGTTTATTTTTATTTTATGATGCCATTATTTGAAAGCATCGTTAAAATATAACGAACACTTTTTTATAGGAAAATTCTCTAAAAAAATAGTTTATTATTAATTTAAATAAAAAATAATAAAAGCAGAAATAAAATTCACTTCTAATATAATAAAAATAAAGTAAAAATACATAATTTTGACTTTTTTCAAAAATAGAATTAAACCATTGCTTTAAGCATTATAATAGAATAAAGTTGAAAAATTAAAAATTCCTCACCTTAGGGGTTTCATCCGTCAACGTCGAAGAGATGGCAACATTAGATTTTTAGTCATTCCCTTGAGTACGCTTCTCATGTTTGAAGTCCAGGGACTATGGGACCTTTTAAACCGTCTGTCTTTGGTACACCAGTCTAAAAATTTCAAAATCTATTTTAATAGTTTCACAAAAAAAAACAGTAATCGATTTTCGTCTAATGCACTTAGAAAAAAAGTTAAATGAAACTTTAATCTTTCAATTGATTTTAAAATAAAACAATTTTTAATATTAACAATTTTATATTGAAGTTTCGAAAAATTCAAATCCAACTTAATAAAAAAATTATAAGAAATTAATAAAAAGTATAAAAACATAGGTTTTTAAAAATGCAATCGTTAATTATTTAAATTTTATTTCAAGACTTTAGAAATAAATCATCAATATATAATAAAGATTATAAATCAATCAAAAGTTTAAAAATATTTTTAAAAAAATGCAGAAATATTATCGTTCTAATGTGCAACCGTTAATTATATTTAGAATTTAGTTTCAAAACTTTAAAAATAAACCATTAGTTAAATATTAATATTTTTATTTTTCATTATTATTATTATTTAGTACTTTAAGTACGAAAGCGCTCTTTGGTTTTTTTTGTAAGCTCGTTTATTATTGTAAATAAATAAATAAATAAAATTATATGACAATTTTGCTAGTAAATTAACTTTAATTTAATAAATATCAAGAAGAATATATATAAAATTAAAATTATAGAAACCATATTAATATTATTATTAGTAAACTAATATAAATAATAGTAAAGTCAAAGTAATAAAAACATATCAGTTTTTGAAAAAATATTGTATAAAATAATCCTCTTACATACCAATGCTTTGTCGGTTTCATAAAAAGCAATTTTGATCGCAGTTTCCGTTCTATTAAGGTTTATTTAGAGAAGTACATGTTCGTGACACCTGGAATCGATTCCATCGACTCAAGTTATTCAATCTCAATGTATATTTTTTCTCATACAATTATCTTTTTATAAGAAAAAAAAATACTATTTTTATTCAATTTAAAAAAGAAAAAATATTATTAAAACACTAAATTCAAAAATTTTGTAATGAACAATATAGAATTGATAAAATTTAACTCGATTTTTTAGATAAAATAACTATGCCATGAAAAGTTAATAATTTTAATTATAAAAAATATTTTAATAAATATAGCTTTATTCTACTAAACAAAGTTAGTTAAACAATTTGTTTAATAAATAATTAATATGAAAATAATAAAATATTCCAATTAGTTGTTTAATTAAAATTTTATAAAAATTATTAAGAAAAATACTGCAGTTTATAAGATTTTAGTAATTTTATAAAAATATATAGATTTAATTCACTTACATTCAAAAATTTCGTTCATATTATAAAAGCTATGCTCATCGTCTTTTCCATTCTATGAACGCTTAGTCGGGGAAGTACACACTGGAATTGATTCTATCGTCTCAAGTTATTGAATCCAAACGTATATTTCTCTCATTGAATAATTTTTCTGTAATACGAAATTTTTCTGTTCCATACTGTAAAAAACAAATTTAATTTAAAAAGAAAATCCAATTTCATGCTTTGTTAACTAAATTTTAATAATATAATTTATTTATTTAGTAATTCCTTGTTTTAAAGTTAAAGGAATAATCAATTTAGTAATTTACTTGATATTATTTGAAAATTAATGTTAAATAGACATATATTGTTCCGAAAAAATTCATCCACAATAATATTGATTAATAAATAAAAATGAAAATCTGTTAATTTAAAAAAAGGAAAACGTACCTTTTTGGTCACATTGAATTTCTTCAAAAATATTATCTCATAGTTATTTATTACATTTATTCTTATTCGAGTAGTGCGAACATTATTTAGTAAATTATATTACTTTTCTTATTGGAAAATTGAAAATAAAATTCCTTGTAAATAAACTTCTCTAAAAAATGAATTGGAAGTCACACCAGCTACACTGATTTCAACTAAATTGCTTTCCCCTTAGACCCTTTTCGACAAGCCTGGAAAGAATATTAGCGTCACATCTGGGAAAGATTAAATTAACTGAGAAAAGGATTTTCTCCATTTTCCGTGAGCATATTATAAATTAAAGAATTAATCCTTTATTTGAAACAATTACGAATCACGTCAACAAGTTTCACTTTTTGAGGTTAGAATGCAATTAAACACTCAAAAAACTTATCACAGTAAAATTAAAAGATATTTGTTTGAAATCTTTTATCAAATAATTTTTACTATTGTTTCTTTTTACTCACAAATATACAAAATACTGTGCATTTAACATTTATAAGTACAAAATTAGAAAAATTATATACGTGAAGATAGAAAAAGCGGATTGTAGACAATGATCACTACACACTGAAGTCAACTCAAACGTTGATTATTTTTTATTCAATAATCGAAGGAAATTCATATTAATAAGTGTTTTTTAAAAAAAATTTATAAATCATTGTCTTTTCTGTAAATTTTGTTAAAATTTATTTTAATATTAAATAATTAAAAATATAATTAATAATATATGCTCATATTAAATTACCGCCAAAAATTAGCACCTTGTGACACCTATAGTCAAAATTATTCATAATTCAACTGACAAAAGTTGCATTGTTGCCAACCATGCAAAAATTGAGCGTCTCAACGCTGATTGGCCAGCAGCTAATGGAGGTTCTCTTTCTACAATAGGTTTACTTCTATTTATAATTCTTTTTTAATGTTTATCAATATCCCCCCCCCCCATCGAATTATTCATCATAAGCCATTGTTACATTCACTCGTTTTTTTGTTGCACAAAAATTTTAATAACAATTTTATTGCATACTGAATGCTACATACCAAATTTCCTAACAAGATGGCGACATTGTTGTAGAGATATCAATTAATGTCTATACTGCTCCCTTATTAATTTAGAAAAAATATATTTATATTCAATTTACTTAAATAATATAAAAAAGCTCAATACTAACCACAAATTAATTTTCTCGTCGACTTATGATCCTTTAATATATGATCAATCCACCTGATTTCTTCGACCTTGAAAGCAGTTGTCCAGTCCCAATGATGAATAGAAGCTGAAAATATTTTTTCAAGCTGCCCAGATCCTTCGTCTAGAAGAGTCAACTGCTCACTGAAGTGGTGGGCTTGCTTTTTACTTTTCTCATCGATTTATGATCCTTTAATACATTATCAATCTACCTGATATCATAATGCGATAATGCTTTCTTCGACCTTGAAAGTAGATTTCCACTCCCAACGATGAATAGAAGATGAAAATATTTTTTTTTCAAGCTGCGCAGATCCAACGTCTTGAAAAGTCAACTGCTCACTGAAGTGGTGGAAGAAAAACGACCTATATTTATAGACGTTGGCAGCGAGAGCGCCCAGCCAATCAGCGTCGAGCTACCACAGAAAGTGCCCCGTCCAATCAGCGCACAGTAAGACACTAGTAAGACAGAGCTCGTGATATAAAAGAAAATTTTTTCACAGCGCACGCTCAGCTCCATCTTGGACATCTCATAGGCAAAATCTGTGTCGCTCAAACAAATTTTTGAAATCATTTTCATGAAGATTATTTGCAATTGCAAATGGCTGCCGACTGTTTTATTGTGACTATCGAAAAGGTCTTCCAGGATTAATTATATATTATGAGGTATGTATTATATTTTATCATTATAGTAGCATTGAAGGTTAGTTGGCGTAACATGGCGCCATTTTTTTACTTGAGTTTTCAGGAACTATTATGAGTTATAATAGTTAATAAAACTATATTTAATGAACAAAAAAAGTAGAAAATTTTAAGGAATAGAGGTTTTGTATTAATAAAAAATTGATTTAACCCTAAATGGTAATTAGGATGCAGAAACTGACACACAGTTGTTGCTTTTTCCCTCATTTTTCAGGTATTTACAACATTCTTGAACATTCGTGATTTTTCTTTTCTTTTTAATTGCATTTTATTAAATTTTATTTTCTTTCAAATTCTCTTTTTTGTTTCATTTTTTCAATTCTTTAAAGTTCTTTTTTTGTAATCCCTAAAATGGTTAGTAGAATTGAAGGTTAGATGGCGCAACATGTCGCCATTTTTTTTTTTACTTGTGTTTACACGTACGATTATCAGTGATAAGTGTTAACAAAACTATACATAATCAACAAAGAAGGTTAAAAATTTTAAGGAATAGAGATTTTATATTAATAAAAAAATGATATAACCCTAAATAGTAATTAAGATGCTAAAACTGTCACAAGAGTTATCAGCACCCATAGTTATTTGGGATATCGTAGCGTGCAATTTTGCTTTTTCCTTCATTTTTCAGGTATTTACAACATTCTTGAACATTCGTGATTTTTCTTTTCTTTTTAATTGTATTTTATTAAATTTTATTTTCTTTCAAATTCTCATTTTTGTTTCATTATTTTCAAATTTTCTTTAAAATTCTTTTTTGTAATGCCTAAAATGGTTGTGTTAGACGACCTTGAATTTTTCATTGCACTCCCACACTGTAAAAAATCTTTTTGGAGATTGTACATTCACAATTTGTATTTGTGTTAAAATTTGTAAAATTATTATATTCAATAAGGTTATGTTACTAGATTAAAAAAAGCACTTTTACCATTTTCTGTAAATTTACTACTTTCAAAGTGGGTAATAGATGAAACATAATTAGCTGTTGCATCCGTCACCTATTACCCATTTTGAATGTAGTAAATTTACAGAAAATGGTAAATATTGATACGAATAATAATTATTTGTATCAATAAAAAGGTTTTGTTATTTTTGTACCTATTTTAATAAAAATTATTGGTGCAAATGCAAATTTATTTAATTGAATAAAGATCATTTATTTCAAGTAAATATTTATTGGATAATATAATAAGCGATTATTTGAATCAAATAAATTTAATTTAAATCAAGGAAAATTATAATTTCACCTGAATTTAAAAATTAAATTAGAGCTGTGCATGTTTTTAAAATTCTATCCGAGCCCATACATAATTCGAACTTTAGCACAGCTCTAAATTAAATATTAACTAAATAAAAAAATCTCAATGTTTGGAAATTTTATTGATTATTTTTCAGTTGTTTTCTCTCAAAATTTATAAACTTTTTTTTTTTAATTGATCCCTATTTTATATTAATTAAAGAATGCATAATTAACTGAATTTTAATTCTATATTGTCACTTTAATTATTATTGTTTGTAAATAAATTTGAAAAAAAGTTTTATTTAAAAGACATTTGACATAATTTTTGTACAATTTCAGGAGACAGAAAAAGGTTCTTGATATAATGCGAAAATTGCAAATTCTACCTTTATTCAAGAGGAAAAATCTCTGGAGACTAATGGCTCGAAAAGGATATTTTCTGACAACGCGAAAGGGGAAATTACTGCTGGTGAGTGGTTTTTAATTTTATCATAAAATTTTAGATAAAACAATAGTTATCTATTAATAAGAAAAAAGAAAAATTGGACTAAATTTTAAATAATTGTTTTAAATTGAATAATTAATTTTTTTTAATTTAATTTATTATTTATTGCAAGAAAAATAATTGAAAAATGAAATTTGTTTTTTTGATAATTTTTTTGCACTTGATATTAGAAAAAATATAATTTAAAAATAATAATAGGAAAGATAAAAATGTTATTCCACGCAAGGTGAAACTTCCCTTTTTGGGGATTTCTCTCTCTCTTGTATCTCTCTTCCTTTGACAAGTGGAATTCATGAAGGTGTGAGGTGTAGACACGTTTTGGTGATAGCTGTCAAAGTATCTTACAGGATATGGGCGGTATAGGGTGAAGGATTTCCTGTACTTCATGTTAGAAACATAGTACAAACCCTTTGCCTAAATTCAAAATGTCAAACATCTCTTCCCGGTTAATACTATCCAAATTGTCTGTTGATAGTTTTCACTAAGATTAATTCGACAATTACAAATTGCAATTTCCAATTTAAAAAAAATTATTAAAATTTGGTCCAACTTGAAAAATGCATTTTTTTACATTTTAATTTCTTTCTCTCAATTAAATTCAAAATAAATGATGTCATTAGACGAAATTTAAAAAAATATATAAAAATTTGGTAATTTTGAACATTTTTTCGTAATGTGAAAATTTTTTCAAAAAATAAATTCAATCGTTTTATAAAAATAAAAAAAATCAAATCCAGTAAAAAAAGGATTTAATTTTTAAAAAACTAAAGTTGAACGCACATATAGTCAGATTTTTATAATCGCTCGCTCATTATTTCTTTAGACGAACCGTATATAGCAAAATTTAAAGGGGAATCTAGAAGCAATTCGAGTTGAAAATCTTTTGAGAGGGAATTAAAATATTTGCCGAACGACTTGTTCCCGGAGTACTTTAACAGAGTCGACGAGCGAGAAGGTCCATAGAGACAAAGAGGGGCGACGACATTCTCAACGTTGTGCAAAAAAAAAAAGAAAAAAAGAGTCAGGGTTCGTAAAAGACGGGGCCCGATTTCAAAAGTACCTTCTATATACTCCTTGAAATCGTGAAGCAAGGAATGTTGTAATAGAGATGTCTGCTATATTAGGTATATATATGTGGATGAATACAAATCTTGCTATATCTCTATTGGATAATACCGTCACTTAATCCCGGGTTTAGCGTGCGCACCTCGTCAAGTTGAACCCTGCTAATGGAAGGTTAAGCCACCAGATCCTCGTAGCTAACTTCCAGCTCACAGACGCGCAGACAACTCCTGAGCAAATCGAAACTTCGTTTCCAATGTCCAACGTGTCGATTATCTTGTTGTCTTTCACAGTGAACAAGTGTCTTTGTCAATTCAAGATAAACGTTTTAGAACTATTGAACAAACGATTTGTCTCTCATTCGATAAATATTAGTATACATTAAATTCACGTATGTGATTCGAAATTTCAAGAGAGAGAGAGAGATAAAAGAGAAAATCTCTGAAAAATTTAATCGTTTATCTGATTCTCAAACTAATTGGATATATTCTTTCTACAAATTTTTGAAGTA